GCCTTGAGTTGGTTCTTATCCTTCAATTTCCTTCTGGATAGACCTAAAAGTTTCCAAGAGGTATAAAAAATTTGGAGGAAGATCTATATTAATCTATACAGTCCAACACAGTTAAGCCAAAATATTTAGTATTGCATTTACTTGGTATTTTCCTACCCTTAGGAAATTGCAGTAATGTATCTTGGTTCTCATGTGGTTTCTTGGGTCTTCTCTCTAAAAGATAGGAATCTGGAAAGGGGGAGCCTTATACATGGTATCCCAAAGCCTACAATATTTCTCCTAGATAGAAGTCTCAAAGGTTTCTACTCCAGGGTTTTAGTAACCATTGACATTTTAAGAAAGATGTGCATGTCATATTTGGTTTTATTCTCTCCCCCCCCAAAAGTATAAGAACTATGGGAGTAATAAAACCCAAAATATGTAAATGTTGTTGTAAAAAGGAGAGGAAAAAAAAAGTGCTCTAAAGGATACAACTGCAAGTGTGTTTAGGTGTGTTAAGATAGATGACCATATTACTAAGTTTTTGTTGGATCACTGAACACAACTGTTTGCAGTCTCACTGTTTGAATGTTCACTTTATATGCTTTAATCCTGTAACTTGAACAACTATTTCTAAGATGACAATATGTAATCTATTAACTAGTGATTTCTTACTGTTTTTTGAAATTCTGTATTACTTGTACTCTTATACAGTTTTGTTTTTTTCTCCTTTAAATAAAATTAAAAAATTATCATACCAAGCTCCACAAATTTGTACAGTTAATCATAAAAAGAGAAAGCCTAGAATGCAATGAACATTATCAGTGTTTCTCAGTGTATCCTGTGTAACTCAGTAGTGAGACAAAAGCTGCTATGTGATGCATGGATGCGCATTTTAAATTTTCATAGTTACTATATTTATTTTAATGTCTACTAGGAAAAGTATAAGAAATATATCAGCTATATGATATCACTGATATTGATCCTCAGGTGAGACTAAATTAAATAAGTGCATTTATTTGAAGCAAGAAGGTCAGTAAATAATAGTACCTATGTCATAGGAGTATACCTAACATGACTGAAGTTGGAGGAAAAATGACTCATGCAGGGCCTCTTGGTGCTAAAATTCTAGGATTCTTTCTCTTTCTCTGGCCTTTTCTTCCACTTTTTTCTGTGGTCATATGCTCTTCTGGAGAAAGGGTATTGCAAGTATTTTTCCATTTGGCCCAGCTATTGCCTTTGTAGGTATCTTTCTGAAAGAGACATCATGTTACACTGTTCATGCATACCTGTGTTCACAGCAGCACAACTCATAATAACTAAATCTTAGAAGGACCCTATATGTCCTATGTTAGTTACTTGGTGTGACAAAATACTTGACAAAGTGAAAAGAGGCAAGGTTTATTTAATTCACAGTTTGTAGAGATTTTAGCCCATAATTCGCTGACTCCAAGGCGGGGTAGCTTGGCAGACAGGCATCACAGAGGAGAAACAGTTCATGACAGGCAGAAAGTAGCAAAGTAAGGTTTGACCGGCTCTTTCTAGCCCTTATATATTATCCAGGCTACATAGGATGGGTAGCACTCGTGTCTTTATTTCTAGTGCTTTGATCCTTGCATTGCACCATGAATCAGTCCCAGCATCACACACTCTAGATCCAGCCACCTCTGAAGCACTCCCACCTCTGACTGTCTGAAGCTTTGGGGGCACATCTAGACAAGCCATAGCATGTCCATCATCAGAGGAATGAAGAAAATACGGTATTTAGGCACAGTGGAGTACTGCTCTTCCATAAAGAAGGATAAATGTGAAACATTCATGGGGAAATAGATGCACCTTGAGACCATAATGTTACATGAAATACATCAGACACACAAGCTTAAATATTGTGTGCTTTCTCTTATACAAGAGACCCGAAGCGTAAATAATTTAAGAAGCAAAGTAAAAGCCAGATAATAGGAAATGGGGAGATTGATGTTTTGCAAAAGAGAAGGGGACCAAGAGATGGTGGAATAGGGAGGGAGGGGATATGAACAGGTTAGAAAAAAATAGATTGAGGTGTGTTATGTACATGTACCAATTCCACACAGTGAGTATAACTGTTGTGTACCAGAAGCATGCACTAATAGAAGTTTAAAAAGTACTCTCAGATTCCAGATAGCAGCCTTGACATCCTCAAGTTTTGCGCTCTGTGGGTCCTGTCAGTCCTCCCTAGGAACAGCCCTGCTTTTCTGAGGGGAAGCTCTGTTTCCCTATCGCAGGCCCTGGTAAGCTACGTGGAGCTAGCAGGAAGCAAACTAAAATAAAAGCAAGGAAAACAGCCCTGCAGAGAGTGCGTGTCTGTGCTTCACTTGGGATTAGAGAAGGCTTTCTCTGGCTCCATTAGCAGAATATCTAATGTACTTGTGCTTGACAAAGCAAATCTGCAGAACTGACAGCCAGTAAATTGTAGTTTTGTGGACTGTGGATTCTGTCTTGCTCTTTTTTTAAACCATCAGGCCACACTTGTTTACTTCTTGGGTGTGAAATCATTTCCTAGATTCTCTTTATAACTCACCCTTACTAGGAGAATGCATATCTCTTTCCCTTCTTGCTCAGTTTGTCTACTATTTTCTGTGCATGATTATTTTCTGATGTTCAATACGCACAGGTTGTCAGTAGCTGATGAAGTGAGATGTACCACGGTGGACAAATCTGGGTTCTTACTTAGTTTAGCAATCTCATCTGTGGATCAATGTTTCTTGCTTAAATTAGCATAGGCCTTACTTTCTTTTTTTCTTCCCTAGGATTTTTGTTTTATGACATTTTAGAGGCACCAAAAATAAAAAAAAAAAACAAAAACAAAACAGTTCAAGGATGGATGGGTGTGTTGAATTTTAGATACTAGATAAACAGCACTGTTTTTGTTGTTGTGTTTGTTTTTCTAGTACTGGGAACTAAGTCTAATGTCACATGCATGCTAAGCAAGAACTCTTATTATTGAGCTATCATTCCCTGCCCCCAATCCTTTAGTTTTATTTTGAGACAGGGCCTTGTTAAGTTGTGCAGGCTGTGCCTCTCTGCTAAGCAATAGTGAACCTACTGGTGCACGGCCTAGAGTCAAACATCCCACTTCCCTTGTTCCCCTTCTCTGTCTCCCCACTTAGCAAATGGGAACCAGAAATCTGAGCATCTCCTGGGAGGTTGACCATAGCAAATAAGGGGGATTTCCTTCTACCATCTCTTTGAAGGCAAATATTTTTATTACTGTTTTACTCTATTCTGATTAATGGTATTGCTCTATTCAGTATTCTGTTTTGATAAGTTCTATAATGTTCTGTATTTTATTTTATTTTGATATATGTGATTGAAAGACCAACTATTATAAAGATAATGAAGTATACTGTGATACCTACTACTGTTATCCCGGTAACCTGCGGTGAAGATCTGTACCAATTTCAGTGTACGATCTTAGTTGGCTTTATTCTGTCTTGTTCTGTTGTATTTTGCTACTTTCAAAATAAAAGAAAAGAAAAAAAGTTGTGCAGGCTGGCCTCGAATTTGAGATTCTCCTTCCTCAGCCTCCGAAGTAGCTGGAAGTATAGATGTGTGCTACCATGACTGTTTACTTTTCTCATTTTTTTTTAAACAAGGTTGACAAGTCCTTGTACTAGATGTGATAGATAAGGAAAAGCTGAATATTACATAAGTCAGGAGAGCAAGAAGGTTTTTCTCATGTGCTTGCTCTTCTGGCATGGTGCAGCCTCTGGAATTGAGATGTGCTGAGATGGATTTTAAGGATCAGCAGGGAAGCGTCATAGTTGTTAGCTGTGTCCCTCAAACCTCAGGAGGGCACAGTTGGGTGCACAAATATCATATACTTGCCATCACAAGCACAATCCCTGCTTCAGGGAGTCAAACCTAATAGAGTGTGAAATTCGTCTGGAGGAAATGAACAGCTATTGCATGCAGAGACCATGGTAGGGACACTTTTAAGTGCCATGTCTTCAATCCTTTACACAGATGGGGGAGGACTGAATTACCATTTGCAGGACAGTTCTTTAGGTAGCCTTGGATCCACCGAGTTCTATTCCCTTTCCTCTAGTGTCTGAAGAATAACTGTAGAATATACTGGGAATATAGCATCCTGAAATAAGAAGAGACCAGCAGGAATAACTTGATCTCTGCTCCAGCCTGCTGCCTCACAAACAAGACGTGATCCTTCTAAGGATCCTGGTGTCTTTCAAAGTTCACACACTGGAAACTTTATCCTCAGTGCAAGTGCTTCAAGGTGGCACCTAAGAAGAGTGGGTTTGTTATCTCCAGAGGGGTTCCTAAAAAAGGAATGAGTTCATTTGCCTTCCTTTCGGTCTCCTTCTCTACACTCTAATCCTCATACTGTGATGACACAGCAAGAAGTCTCTTTTATTAGGTGCTAGTCTCTTGATATTGGACTCTCACTCTCAAACACTGGGAAACATGAATTCATTTTTCTAAATTGTCCAGCCTGTGGCATTCTGTGACAGTAACACAAAGTGGGCTAAGCACTTCCTGAAGTTTTATCTCAGCACTGCTTATGACCCCAGGGTATAAATCCCAGGGCAGCTTGCTTTCCAGGCTTCTTTTCTGTTGTGCAAAAGCTCACATGGTTGAAACCCTACCCAGCCTGAGCACTTTTCCTTGGCATTTGGTAATGGGCTGCTAGGATTCCTAAGTTTCAATCTTCCTTTGCCGTCTAACCATAAATAATGAATCTGTGATGCATGTGCCTGTGTGTGCATGTGTGCATGTGTGTGTTCTGACTCATTAGACACTGAAAAACTAGTAACAGTGTGCATTGAAACTGCTTCATACTGCTCTCACTTTATAAATGAGGAACCAAGATACCCTAGTTGATGTTTTGTTGATATAACCGAATGCTACAGATTGGGCAATATGTATAATGAGGGAAAGAAACTTATTTCTTACTGTTTTGAGGCTGAGGAGCTCAGGCCCAGTGTGCTAGCATTTCATTTTCTTGTTCTATCATCATCCTCTAGCAGAAGAGGAAAGGACAAGAAAAGGACAGCAAGAAAGAGAAGCCCAAGCTCGTGCTGCCATTCCTGCATCTGCACAGACCGCCCATGAGGGCACAGCCTTCCTGACCAAGCTGGTCCCCACAGGTCCCACCTCCCAACACTTGCACTGAAGATGAAATTTCTGCCATGAGTTCTGGGCACTGTATCGAAAACTTAGCATGGAGTCTTAGCCTCAATATCTTACAAAGTAAGAAGTGGTGGAAATGAGATGAGAAACCAGAAAGAGTGCGTGCGTGTGTATGTGTGTGTGTGTGTGTGTGTGTGTGTGTGTGTGTGTGTGTGTATTAACATTTTAAACTGGAGTGTTCAAATGAAGTCCTTTCAAAAACTTAAGGTATTCTTTGTTGAGAGTGTTTTTAGTCTGTTTTGTGTTGTTTAATTTCAACATACATGAAGATGTGGACAGTTATTTTGAAGAGAACAAAAGACATTTCAGAGCCATTGTTGATTTTCCTACAGTCTAGTTTTGAAGGCCTGTAATGTCTTCATCACTCTGTTTTGATCAGTTTTATCCTATTTTGTTTTATATGAATTCATTGTGTGTGAATATATGGACAACTGTTTAGAAGAAAACGAGACATTATAGTAGCCACTGTTGCTAAGTAGCAAGATTGGGATGTGGGACCTGTTGTCTTGCTTTGAAATCTGTGTGTTTTACATTGTTTTCTTCTGATCTGCTTTGTTCTGTTTTGTTTTACCCTCTTTAAAATAAAAAAAAAACTTGAGGTAAAATTTAGGTCACTTATGGTATATGAAAGTGCCATAATCTTAAATTTGCCTTGTGAATTTCAGTTGGGTGTACCTGTGTGACCCTCACTCAGACCAAGAAAAAATGTTTTTACCTTTCCAGAAGCTTCTCTGCTGTTCCTTTCTATCAGAAATGATTCCATCAAGAGATAAATTGCTATTTTGATACTTATTACTTGGATTAATTTAGGTTATTTTTCAATTTCTCTTGGTTATATACAGAGAAGTATTTCTGGGCCATACATAGGATAAATATTGACAGTTAGTAGGCTGGAGCCGTAATTGTGTGAATGTTGGTCTCCTTTTAAAATTCATATGTTGGAATCTAATCTCCAGTGTGATGACACTAAGAGCCATAAGGATATTTGGATCTTGAACGTCCCAAAAGGCAAATGGGTCCAGCAGCTGGGCTTTGGGAAGGTGACTGGATCACAGGGGCGCTATCCATTTCAGTGGATTCACTCACTGAAGGATTCAGGGCTGAATGTCTTGTTCAGAGGTGGGGTCTGATCAGAAGAGGTGGTCACTGTGTAGGGTGACCTGAAGAGCATATCTCCTGCCTGGGCTCCTCCCTTCACTCTCTGGCTGCTGTCTGTGCCAGACCATGTCACCTGCCAAGTGACCAGCTGAATGGACTGAATCTTCTGAAAACTATGAGCCAAAATAAAACTCTCCTCTTAAGTTTCAGCTGTTGAGCATTGTTGTCTCAGTAAAAAGAAAGTAACTAAGATGAGCCCTCATGAATAGAATTAGCATCCTCATGAATGAAGTTGAAGGATCCCTTTTCCCACCTCTGCCACCTAAGGACACAAGGAGACGCCATCTGTAAGGAACAAGGACTCACCAAACACCAAGTCTTCAGAACCATGAGCAGGAGCTTTTTAGTGTTTATAAGTTACTCACTGTATTATCAGGGTACTGGCCTAGATCTCCAGTCTCCCAAATGAGTGTACAGTAAAGGTTTAAATAAATGAGACAAGTGGTATGAGTTTAGGGCTCCAGGAGGATTACAACCCTTTGCAGAGTTCGAGACTATGGGAGCTAAGACAAGGAATGTCTCTGAGTGGCCTGCATTTATTTAATTTTCAAACAAGAAAGGGGATAGAGTGGAGAATGCAGGAAGGTGAACAGATCTTGCGAGTGATTCAAGGATTTTTCCAAGGAACAGATTATGTTTAATTTAGGAGAACTATCTTATGTTAATTTAGGAGAAGTATCTTAGGAGAAGATCTCCATGTTGCATTTCACTGCAGGAGTGAAATGCTTGTAGCTACAGCCTATAGTTAGTTAACTGGAGTTAGGGCCAGGTGTCCTCAGCTATGTGTCCTCAGGTGTCCTCAGACCTTATCTTGCCCTTTGAGGTGTCTCTTTGTTCTTAGGTCAGCAAGGCCATGCCCTGGTCATCCTCCAGCCTTGCACATGTGTTCAATTTCCAGTTTCAATGGCTCCTAACACCATGATTATTTTAAAAATATACCAGCAGGAATGAACTAAAGTATAAGCCTTTACCTGTCTTCAGGAAGTCAAGGACTCTGGTTCGCTTATGCTCTGGCTGTCCTAGAACACGCAGTATACCCGGCTCAGTTCCAGGCTCAGGCACAGTAACTGAAAATGTCTGTGGAACTGTGTCTTACTTCTTGGCTTTGCATTAGGGTTGTGTTTCAGGGAATGGAGAGGTTAGGGCCTCTCTCTTTGTGCCCAGAGTTCCTTCTCTTCAAAGAACATTTTATGATCTCTCCTTAGATATCTTATACAAAGTTCACAGATCATAGGACCTGCCTGCACATGTATTTTAAAAAGTCAGCATAGTGGTCTAATCATCTATAAGGGAAAATGAAAAAGATATAATTTATACTAAGATAATGAGTAAGTTAGTATATAGATGCTGGGGTACTGCTAGATTGAAAGGCCCTCTGATGTTCACAGATGTGTGTAATTGTATATAGTATCACAAATGCAGAGTGAGGTAGGCCCAATGTTCTGTAACTCATACCATGGATTGCATCATTGTTAGCGATAGGATTTTCCAAATGACAACCAGCTCTTGGTAAAATTTCTCTCTTCCCTCAATTGACTTTGGAAAACTCATTGTGTTAAAGCTATTTAGTTTGGGAAAGTCTGGCATGCATGAGGCTCTACATTTTAATCCTAGCCCCAGTGCCCTCCTAAACAATGACAACAACAAAAAAGAAAAGAAAAGAAATATTTATATCGTAATGCATGTTTTAGGTTTTGAAATGGAACTGGGACCTAGATTCAGGTGATTTGTTCAACTTCATGAATATCCTGGGCTATATGGGACTAAAGCATATCTTCAGGGGCTGAGACTATCTCAGGCATCTTCATCACAGAATGTCTACTGCTCTGGACCCCTGACCATGAAATGCCAGTAGGTCCCTTCTTGTCATAAAGATAGCCATCCCCACACATTCCCCAGTATGTTTGGGGTCAGATGCTTGGTTTAAACTCAACTCCCATTTTAAAAAAGAGGGATTCATTGCCTTGGGAAAGGAAGAATGAACAGCTGGAATAGATAGGGATTTATACGTGAAATATGCACAAGGACCACAGTCTCCTGGCTCTTTAATCTGTGCCATAATATTTTTCCTGATGGTAGCTGGGAGCTCGAGTAGATGTGGGTTCAAACCTTGTCTCTGACCTTGGACAAATACTTCCAGAATATTTATCATTTGTGAAATTGAGACTAGAACTAAACAGACCTTGAAGGATTAAGAGTATGCCTATGAAATCTAGACACACAGTGAGTTCCCCATTGTTTATTGCCTTTTAACACTCATTGACCTAAATGCTAACAGAAAGTCTCGCTTCATAGTCTTGGAGAACTACTGCCTTCGAATTTTCCTCTGAAGAGAAGCTCTAACTGTACTAATGACCCTGAGGCTGCAGAGAGCCCAGCCTGAAACCAGGTCTGATAGACCTTGTCTTGATTTGGGATCTTCAAAAGCGGAATCAGAGACGAGTACTTGAGTGCAAACGCTACATTTGGGAGGTGCATTTACTATCAGTTTTTTTGCCCTCTCAGTTTTGAACTTCCTTACAGGTTCTGAAAGGATAGAAGGATTTAAATATTTATTTCTCCTTTGAAGCGAGCATGCATTGGGGCAGTAGAGGGCGCTGGAGGATACTGCAGCTGCGGGAAGGCCCGGTGTTTGCAGGGGAGGAAGACAGACCAGCAAGTGCTCGTTCTGCGACAGCGCAGTCTCCAGCCGGTGTAACCTTTGGACCGCCCCGTGGATCTGCAGACTGAGCTGGCGGCACAGCCCGGATTCCCCAGAGGCTCCCGCTGTGAGGGCCTCAACTCTCTCCCCGCCCTAGCTCCAGGCTGCCGACTGCCCACTGTTCCGGCCCGCTAGCTCCTCTGTGACCTGCCCTTGGCTCATCTTTGGGACTGAGTCGCGGCTCCTGGCGCATCCTGCAGCCCTCTCCATGAGAAGGGCTCCTCTCCACCCTACTGCAGGAGCCTGCACTACCAGCTGCGGGTTACTCAGCTCAGCCTGTTCCTAGTAATTCCAGATCACCTCCGGCAGGGCTAAAGCCCTTAACTTCTCCACTGAACCATGTGTTTTCCTCAAGAGGTCTGAATCCTCCTCCAGTTCCTTTGTAGGGTACTCTTTGTCAGCCTTAGAGCACTTTGTAGCTTTTCCTTAAGCTTTACAGTTGCTTTTTATCATAGCAAATCATTCTTTGCACTAAACGTCTTTTAAATTTACTATGTGCTTTCTGTCTTCGTTGGACCAATACTGTGCTAGGAGGCATCTGTGAGAGAGGAGTCCATAAGCAGTGTGCTAATAACCGGGTCCCTATTGCGTGCATCTGGAGCTGAATTCCATGGGTGTCCTTCTGAGTCTTGGAGTCACGCCCCGAGGTATTGCCCCAGCAGGGGGCAAATAGGGTGCATATTTACCTGGGAGTCGCTGCTTGAGACTGGCTCTTGGGTGTGGAATCAAGTCTTTATTTTTTCTGTCCTGCTGTGTGTGTGGACTGTGCACTTGGTCTTCCTGCCTAGAATACTGTTGAGGGTAGGGAGGGCCTTCAGGTAGAGAGACATAGGTTCTTGGTGGCCCCAGGAGCGCTGGCCGGCAAGGATGGGTTGGCCACACAGTGCTGCAGGATGCTGGGAGGCAGATAGAAAACCTGTCAGCTGGATGCTGGTGAATGGCTCGGAATTATTCGAGGGTGAATTTTCCGGAAAAGTCAGTTGCAGAAGATCAAATGTTTTCCTGACTGCTGTAATTTAATTGTACAGTCGGTGTTTGCTATGGATAATTGGATTTTTCTTTGACCTTGACAGTCTTGCTGGCTTGCTGTCTGCCTTGGAAGACAGTTTCCTAACTCTCTCGAATACAATAAACCAGACCTGGCTTCCGTCAAGGGCTGGCTGGCCTGCCATTTCCAGGGATGCTGATGGCAGTGGTATCTGACCAGAAAAAAGTCAGTGGTGTTTGTTTTGCCCTTTACAAGACTATTTCAGCTGAAGCAGAAGGCTTTTAAATAGAAATCTTGATGGCATAAGCCATTTTAATTCTGGGCAGTGGCCTGTAAAGTTTAGTGACATCAAAGCTCAGTTCTGCTCTGGGACACAGAGAATGCCATGGAGGGAGGTTTGAATCAGCAGGGACACCCGAGGGAAACACAGGCAGAGCACAAGGTCATTCCCAGGGGTCATTTTCATACCAAGATGGGAAGGTGGGGAAAGGGCAAAGATAAACACCGGAAGCCTGTATCTGGGGGTGATGTGGACAGTGGGGGTTACTTTTACCTTCCGATGTTTAAATCATTCACATTTTACAATCTTTTAAGTAACTTACATGGTTTCCCAAGAGGAATGCATGTTCTTTCCACATATAACATACTTAGTCTGCCCAAAATGGAAAAATGTCTGAGATACGCTGTCCAGTGGCAACAGCAATACAAAGGGCATGTTGAGTAACGGCTGGGTAAGGAGGGAGGAGAGGAAGAAGGCTGCGGAGTGAACACTTGCAGGTACTTACATGAAAACCTAACGAAAATGTCACGTCTGTGTGTGAATCACGAGGGCAGAAACAAGACTTCCTGAAGCAGGTGTTTGTATCACTTTGTTCCAATATCCCATCAGTCTAAAAATAAAAAGGATTTCAGAGAAAACTCATCAATGTTCAAATAACGAAAGTGCTTAATGAAGAGTGTAATTGTAATAATGGACCATCATTACAACCTTCAAAAATTGCTTTGGGTGGGAAAATGTGTCCCAGAAAATTCAAGTACTTGCACGTGTTGTGTGGTTTGCAAACACTGTAGTGGGAGGCAGGTGTGGTGGTTAGGGTTTTCATAGGATCAGAGGAAAAAACCTTTTTGTGTTTCTATTGCTATTCACTATCAAAGCAGCAGGGGGAGGTGTTTCTCTGTTTATCTTTTCCCCCCACTTTCCCCAGCTTAGTATGCAACATGGACCAAGATTTTTTTTATTTCAAACCTATGCATAAAATGCCCCAACTTTGCTAGACTCACGTTGTTACTCCCTCAGCCCCCAAATCTTTAGGGGACTCGGAGGTTCCAGCAGTCTGCTAGTGATTATTCAGAAGGGGCTGATTATTGGGTTTGCCGGTGTAAGGTCCTTCTTTTGGCTTCCCTCTGCCTCTCCTTGTCATTCTCCCCGGCTGCCATACATCACTTGCCATAATCAAGTCACAGAAAACGAAAGTTAAATTATGGAAATTCACAACTCATTTTTTCAGTTTGCAGATGAGACTCAGGATTGGGAAAGCAAAACAAACAATTGAGCTAACAAACAAAAAGAGTAGATTTCAGACCTCCATGAATGATTTTAAAATGAACAAAAAGAAGGTAAAAGGGGAAAAGACTGAGTGTGGGGTGAGTGTTTATCTGTGCAACTGGCCTGTGCCTGCTATGGCTCCTGTGGTCCTCACGACACCGTAGCAGACTGAGGGTCACTAGGGCTGTTTTGCTAAGGAGAGCAAAACCCAGAGGTCTGAGTGACTTAGCCAACACTATATAGTTACAAAATGATAGAATGGGAACCAAGACCCAGGCTGGATCCAAAGAGAAAGCACTTGGGTATTTTTTCCCTACACCCACTGAATGAAAGTGGCCTCTCATCCTCTTCCTTCTGTGGTCTTTGTAGCTGCGTTGTCACACGGCCTCTCACCTGTGCTGTGCTCCCCTAATGTCTACAAAGAGAGGGAAAGAAGAAAGGGACCTGCCTGAGGAACTTCCCAGAAGCTCAGTGGAAGCTACTCTTTGTTGTCTGTGGGGCAGTGATTTCTTTAGAAAAAACAGTAGCGTAGACCAGCCCAAGGTCAGAGCTGTGGACCTGAAGTGCCAGGGAGGGCACTGTGTTATTTAAAAAAAGTATTTTGGAGCATTGTGTGCTTTGGAGTGTGTGTGTTTGTGAGCATTCCACATTCTTCCACGCACTTTCTGCAGTGACCCCAGGGCAAGGTGACAGCCAAGATGCAGAAGGGGGCAGTTTGGAGCCCTGGGTGGACTGATGGTAACATGAGCTTAAAGAACGGTGGTGGAAACATTTCACTAAAGCGAAGTTGTAGGATGATTTCGGGGGCTTCAGCCTCCGTACTACATTTGTGGGGAGAATTCTGTCTCTCTGCATCTGTCTGTCTCCCCATTCTGATCAAGTAAAGAGAGTCTCCTTTGGTGCTAGCATGATACCAACACCTCCCTTGCTGCCATCTCATGGGGAAGGACTAGAGCTGGGCCTGAGGCAGGCACAAAGTCCCAGCCAGAATTTTTGTAGCTCATTTTATTTTTCCTCAGCTATGATTATAGCTGTACTAAATGATTAAGATTTTCTGCTTATCTTATTGATGAGGCATTCTGTTTAAAGAGGTGTATTTTTAAAAAGTGAATTTAAGAATAATAAAGGATAATAGGACAATGATATATGCATGTGACAAAAATGATGAAAGTGGCATTGGACTATGAAAAATAGGACTGCAGTCGTGGATTTCTAAACATGTCTTTCATCTCAGACTTTTTTCAATTACAACTCGATCATCTGGGAATCACTAGAAAACTTGGGATAGTATAATATCAGAAAAGAAAGGGATAATAAAATTCATTTGCTTAAATTTGCAGTTGATGAAATGGAAGTTTAGAATGATGTCGCTAGCCCTGTTGACAGAGAGGCACAGAGACAGAGATAGACAGACACAGAGACAGAGACAGAGACAGAGAGAGAGAGACACACACACACACAGAAAGACAGAGAGACAGAGACAGAGACAGAGAGAGAGACAGAGAGACGGAGAGAAAGACACAAAGACAGAGACACAGAGAAGGAGAGACAGGGAGAGACACACAGAAATACACGGAGAGTGACAGAGACAGAGGGACAGAGAAAGAAGCAGAAGAAGAGACAGAGAGAGACAGAGAGACAGAGACAGTCAGAGACAGAAAGAGACACAGAGGGAGAGCAGAGAGTCAGAGACAGAGAGAGACTGAGACCGGTGGGGGCAAGCAGGGGAACTGAGCCGCCCATGGCCTCGATAGATATTGCACTACTTAAGCCTTTGAGTAATTCAGGTAATCTTGGTGCTGTGGAGGGAAGCAGGAGGAGGAGTGGGAAATGGGAAACCATCTTTGTAGAAATGAGACTTCCTAGATCACTGGGCAAGGGGTGTCCTTGAACTCTCAGTTCCCAACACATGCTGCAGCCACCAGGGAAAGAGCTGGCTGGGTGCCCCCAGTAAATGCAGCAGTAGATTTTTGCAGTGGAATGTGGCATTGAATACAATAGGTCAGTGTTAAGCCTGGATAAAATGTGATGACTGATTAGGAAAGCATGGGATTGTGGTGATGGTTATCAGCACCCTCTCAGAACAAACAAAGCTGCAAACTGTGCTTGCATGGCTGACAAAACTGGCCCCATATGGCCTGGTCCTTGGACAATTTACCCTGGTCATGCATCCTCCCTGAGGAAATCAGGTGTCCCAGGAGGAGAGGACCAAGTCTTACTCAGAGCTTGCTCTAAGGGTTCTGCCTCCGCTCTGCTCTCTCTTCACACATCTGCTTTGAGCTTGGCTTTCCTACGAGCATCCCAAGCTTGTGAATGTGGGATGCTTTAGGAATAAGACAGCTCCTCTTTGCAGAAGGGGCTGGGAACCCAATGTATGGCTCACAGGAGATTTAACACACGTTTGTGAGTAGGATGACCAGAGGATTGGGTAAATCACTGGTCCTTGCCTGACAGTTGGTCTAGAGCTGGCATGCAATAAATGATTAATCTCCAGTTCACTCCCATTCCTCGCTAGACAACCAGTGGACGCTTCTCAGTGTCACTATTCCTTTATGGCTAAAATTCAGGTAAGAGACTGTGTCCTACAAATGTGTTCTGGATATATGGGAGGTAATGTGTCTAGTGAGACAGAGAGAGAGACAAAGGGAGAGACAGAGAGAGACAGAGAGACAGAGGAGAGCCAGGAGGTTGCCTGTTTACTCATTTTAAGTCATTCACTCATTGAGTCATTTAGTAATTCATCCAGTGAATTTTGTTACATCAGTTTATATACAAAACGGAAATGGAACTGAGGCACCTCTTACAATCTGGAAGTTGGATAATAAACATGTAAATAAATAAATAGCCAAGATAATACTCTCCAGACATCAAATATGCTAAAATGAACTTTTAGCTTTTATCAATAAAGCTGAGTCTTAAATACTATGCATCAAACACTTTGAAATACTTATCTGTATTATGTATTTAATCCTTGCCATCATCTGAGAAGCTAAATACTATAATTATTATCTTTCATTTTACAAAGGGAAACTGAGGCACAGAGTTAGAGCAATGCTGAGGGGAAACTTTTAAACAGTGTGGTCGAGAGAAACATCTATGGGAGGTGACATTTAAGGAGATGCCAGGAGCTGGATGTGGCTCACACTTGCAATCCTTGCAATCGGGAGACTGAGGCAGAACTGCGAGTTCAAGGCCAGCCTGAGCAGCACAGTGAAACTGTCTCAAAATGACCAAAAAAAGAAAAGAAAGGCCAGGGATTCAAATTTGCTGTCTGTCGTTAAGTCCTTTTCTATGTACTCCTTCACAGGTTAGAGCTTCCATGTGGCTCACTGTCACTGGGCCACCATCTACCTGGGTGCCCTTCCTGCAGTCATAGCAAGTGTGACAGCCTGGAAGTGATAGACAGGGGTTACTGGGCGGGGCCTTGAACAGTGTTTCTCCCTCCCTCATCCCTTGACCTCTCTCTGCTTCCCACTGCCATGAGTGAGGTTGACCAAATGCATCTGATTCACTTACTTCCCATTTGATTTTTTTTTTTTTTTTGTCTTTTTGAGACAATGTTTCACTGCGTAGTTCAGGCTGGCCTTGAACTCATGGTGATCCTCTTGCCTTGGCCTCCTGAGTGCTGGTATTACAGGCATGTGCCACCTCTGTCTGACTTTGTTAGGACGGCTTATTGATATCCTCTGAATTTGAAGGACAAGAAATTGTGACTTGCCACTATGCATTTGCCTGTGGAGAGGCTGGTTATAGTTCTGCTTATGATGGGAATGGGACAGAAAATGAACCAGTCTTGGCAGCAGAAATGAGGAAAATCTCATCTATGCATGGAGCACAATAAGCTGCACAGCCTTTTACCTCCAATATCCCATCTGGGTCTTCCAGCAACCTTGTAAAATGAATATTGTTATGCCTGATTGAAATATCTGAGAAACACAGGCTGAGCTGCTACAGAAGTTTAGCCAAGGTCATAGAGCTTGCTGGGGACAAAGGTAGTGCTTGAGGTTTTGTTAATTGTATAGTCTGTAAGAATATCTTGCTTAACATGGGAAGCAATCACAACTATTTATTATTATAATTTATCCTAGTCTTTTATGGCTACCATAATGAAAAACATAGACCAGGCTTCTTATAAACAACAGAAATTTCTCAGTCAGGAAGCTGGGAAGTCCAAGATGAGGAAGCTCACTGATTTGGAGTTGGTTATGCTTGTTCTGTGATGGTGGCTGCTAGGGTTGATACCTGGGTGTCCTTCCAAAGCTTCATGAGCTCACAGAGGGGGTTTTGGGGGAGGTGATTGTATTATGGGAGTGCAACACTCTATAGCTAAATGGGATGTTGGGAGGTGAAGCCTAGTCTGAAGAGGGGGGTAATTTGGTGGAGCTTAGAATAGTGCCACTCCCTTCCTCATCCCTTGACCTCTGTGCTTCCCACTGCCATGCCATGAGCTCTTTTTCCTCTCCCATGACCCTCTACCATGCCACCCTGCCTTGGAACCAGATAACTATGGACTGAAACATCTACAAACTGTAAGCCAAAATAAACCTTTTCTCCTTGGAGTTGTGCATGGTGGGCATTGTGTCCCAGTGACAAGAAAATAACTAAGACAGCATCTTCTCACCATGCCATCATATGATGGAAGATACAGAAGATCTCTCTTGGGTTTCTTTAATGAAGGTACTAATCTCATTCATGAGATCTCTGAGCCACTACTCAAAGGCACCACCTCCTAATACCATCACTTTGTGGGGCTAGGGTTTCAACATGAGAATTTTGAATTTCATGTCATAGCACCCTGTCCTGTGTCCCCCCAGAGTCATGTCTTTCTCACATGCAGAATTCACCCCTACCATCTCAATAGCCTCAAAAGTTCTCACTCATTTTATCCATAAATTTATAGTCTAAATCTAATCCAAAGCCTCACCTAAATATATTTAGCTATTGGATATGAGTCTCAAGATATGATTCACTCTGAGACGAATATCTCTTTAGCTCAACTTATGTGCTTCCAAAATAAAATGATGGAATGGCATAGAACAGATATTCCCATTCCAAAGGGGAAAAATTTGGAAGAAGAAGGAAGTGGCAGGCTTTTATGACTCCAGTCTTTGGAACTGAGAATGATCTTTAACTCAAGTCCCAGTGGGATGGTGGTCCTACCTGCCTAGCTTTGGGAAACCTTGATTCATGGATCTACTGCGTGATATACAAAAGGAGCTCTCTGTGTTAGCTTCACTCTCTAGCAGCCCTCTTCCTGGCTTGTGTCTTGTTATGGCTTGTGTTAGAATGCCCCTCCCCCCAAGCCTCATACAATCATGGATGCAGCTGAATCCAGTATTCGTGATTGGTTCATTGTCTAGCACTGGGATTGGTGGTGTGAGTGCTACACCCGCCAAGGGCCAGAGCAACATACAGTGTAAGGGTAAAAAAGAAGGCATGTCTTTCTTCTTTTTGTGCAGTTCACTCTTGCTGTTTTTTGGGGCCCATGAATGGCACCCTGCCATGCCAACCTGTCTTGGAGCTAGCTGAGTAAGGACTGAAACCTCCAAGATTAAACTTTTCTTTCCCTAATTTTGGGCATCAGGTATTTTGTCTCAAGAAAAAGAGAAAAGTAACTAAGACAGTGCCTGGGGATGGGTGCTCCATCCTTTGAAAGCAGCTACATCTGCACTGAGTGTTGGTGAAGATGGCAGCTCGTGGACACTGCCTACTGTAATCATCTGTACCTTCCAGAGGCATGGCTTCTGTGACCTGTGCTATAGGAGCCACACATGGGGTGGCTGAGACTTGTTGCCCTTGATGTGGGAACACAGCCTTGAGGAGAAGCCAGGACTGTCTTTGAAGCTGTTTTTTTCCTCCAGGTGTTAGAGCTCTGGGTTTAGGAAGGGAAAGACAGTCCTAGTAATCTCTGAAATACCTTTGGGTTACTCTCCCATTGTCTTGGACAATCAGTTATGGATGACCCTTACCACTTTTTTTGTCAAAAAATGGCCTGACCTAATTTCAAATATGCTTCATTTTAAATCTTGTTACGGTTAGACTGATCTTTAAATTCTCTTTCTCTCTATCTTTGTCTCTGTCCCTTTCCCTAACGTCCTGGAATATTAAGCCCAGGACTTTGTGCCTGCTAGACGTGTTTCAGCACTGATCTACTTTTCCAGCCCTTTTTACTTTCTTTTGAGTCGCCTTAAGTTGCCTCAAACATTTTTAGGCTGGCCTCAAACTTGTGATTCTCTTGCTTCAGCCTCCCAGCAGGCTTACAAGTATATACCAGTACCACCAGCCTTTATTTCTCTTTTGAATAAAAACTCAGTCTTATCTCATTTGTCTCTTTTTGTGCTTTACTGTAAGCATTTAAGAGAAGCCAAGCTGCACTTTAAGCACTTAAAGCATTTCTTTAAGTACACATTTTATGTTAGTATTCATAAGCTCTACCTTCTACAAAACACTAAGACACATGCAGTACAGCCAGGTTCTCTGTCACTTTATACAAAAGTTGGCTTCTCCAGTTTTCAATAACAAGATAATCATTTCTGTCTGTAAACGCATCAGCATGGCTATTTCCATTCATTTGGCTATAAACATTCTGTGCAGGGCCACTTGAGTATTTTCTAAGAAGACTGAGTTGCTCTCAGCTGCTTTTCTCTTTTTGTCCTGGATCCTCTCAAAATCACCTCTAACAGTCCACCTGCAGCAATGTCAGCTTTTCCTGTTATACACCCCAAAACTCTTCCCACTCTCTCCCATTCCCAGTTCCAAAGTTGTCCCTATATTTTGGGTATTTTTCACAGTAGCATCTCTACTCAGTATCATTTTTCTGTCTTAGTCTGAGCTGATATAAAGTGGGCAGCTTATAAAACAGAGAAATTTACTTCTTAGCTCCCAGGAAGCTGAAAGCCTGAGATCAAGGTGCTGGAAGTCTCAGCTCCTGCAGAGGGCTATCTGTCACATTAGGTGGGTCCCTCAAATGCCAGAAGAGGGGAGGGGACTCCATATAGAAACATCGATCTTATTCATGTGACCTGTGCCATGATCTAATCATCTCCCTAACTTCTAACACCATCACCTTCAGGTCTAGGATTTCAACATATGCGGTTTAGGCAGATAACATTCAGACCATAGCTGCCAAGTTCTGTGCCAAGAGCTTCACCTACACAGACTTACTTAATCCTGTTATATGCCACATGGAAATCATTTGGCACAGGGCCTAGAATATGGTAATAATCAGTGTTAACTTACACAATTTCTTGTTTGAATAAGAGGCTCAAGACAGGCTAACTAACTTTCCAAAGTCACACAGTCGGTAAATGATGGGGCTGACGTTTGAGATCCGAACATGTGCCAGGTAATCACGCAGGCAGCTTTACCTTCAGATAATGACAAGTTCTCAGCCACAGTGCCTGTTGCCCACTCGCATCATGGTTGGTCCCCTGTGCCTCAGTGGGTGTGTGCAGAGAGTGCTTGTGAATTTAGAGTTTTGTGCAGTGTGTTTCTGGCAACACAGAGTTGCTTTGGTATTTCGTCTGAGTGGCTATGTGAAGTCATTTTGGCTACAGGGCTCCAGCTTTGCAGAGACTCTGGCACTATGGCTCATTCTGTGGTTTCTCTCCGGAACCACTGTGTTCCTGCCTCACTCAGAAGAGGTGGAGGATGCTGAGCACTGGTTGGGGAGCCTTTTCTCCCATGGTGCCCAGGGACGCATGTTTCTTGGAAGAGGTGGTAGGATTCCAGCCTTATGAACACAAGTGAGTTCTAAATCCAAGTTGTAAGAGTTTCCTGTTTTACCTTTTGCCAGATTTTGAAACATAAAGCCATTTCCTAAGCAGACAATGTCTTGGCATTCTCCCATCTCTCCTTCAGGCTTCAGCTTTATACTCTCTTTGCTGCATTCCACAGATATTACTCTGTCAGCCTCCATGCTTAGCAACACAGAGAAAGTAAATTGGGGAAGATCTGGACTTTATTTCCAGGTCTCCGGAATACTGCAGGGGAAAAGCAGACGAATCTTGGTGGAAGGTTTAATCAAGGAAGTAGAACTTCATCTAGGCCTTGAAAGATGTCAGGATTTTGATAGATGGAGCAGGAAATGAAACTTGGAAAGCCAGACCACCAGAGCTAAGGCATGAAGGTGAGGAAGGTCAAGGTGACATAAAGGAGTCGTTTCAGACAAGCGGAAAGTTAGTGTTTGCAGTAGAGGAGAGGATGACTGTAAGTTTCTGATGGTCTTCTCTCATGGCAGGGTGGACACATCAAGGGACACTCTTTGTTCTTTCCATTGGTACCCCCATATGGGAGGTGACACCCCCGTGACACCAACACAGAGGATGACGCTTTATGTCTCACAAGGTCACCTGTATGAGCCCTCCTCCATCATGCACTGCTGTAGACAGTCAGGCTGCTGTAACAGAATGAGTGGCTTGTAAACAATAGGGGATTATGTCTCACAGCTTTGGAGGCCAGCAGGTCCAAGATCAGGATTTCATACCTGAAGAGTGTCTGTTTCCTGAATCATAGAGGGCAAATTTATTTTGTTTAGAGAAAAAAAAGCAAAATGGAAAAAAGTGTAGAAATAATAAACAATTCAAAAAAGTAAGAAATCACTAGTTGATAAATTACATACTGTCATCTTAGAAGCAGTTGCTCAAATTACAAAATCAAAGCAAAAAAAGTTGAACAATAAACAATGACAGTGCAAACCATTCTTTTTGATGAACTAACAAAAACAGTGTGGTGATCTATCTTGCACTCTTAAACACACATACAGTTACATCCTTTAGGGCACTTCCCCTTTCATTAGCTCAGTATCTATTATACATTATTATACATCTTGGATCTTATTACTCTTTCAAGTTTTTATTATTATTTTTATACTAGAGAGACAATATGATCTTTACAAATGTGAGTCTGATTTATTTCACTTATGAGGATAGTCTCAAGTTGCCTCCACTTACCTATAAAAGCCTCAAGATCATCTATTTTTTTATATCTGAGTAATGTGCAGTTTTTTACTGTAATTTCATGTGGTAGAAGGGTTGAAGGAGGACCTCTCTAAGGCACTACCCCACGAAAAGGGCTGTACCTTTGCTGTGTAATCACCTCCCGAATGCCCCATTCCTTCATCCTGTCGCAAAAGGGTCCTAGATTCAATGTACAAATTTGGGAGGAACACAAACTCCCAGTCTGTCATCTTCACTGGCCTTGTGCTAAAGATAGCACTGATCACTTTTTATACATCACTGCCTTTGAATCGTGTCTATTATTCCAGTTTTGCGGGGAAAGAACCAAGAGACCCAGAGAAGTTTTGTCATAAGTTTCAGGTCCCAGGTTGAGTCAGAAATGGTGTTGGCTCCATTTCTGGGTGTTGTGGGGTTCTGTCCTTCACACTTGGTTCACTACACTTTGGTACTAGAAGGGGACTTTCCAAAAGCTGGCTGACAACACTGCTATTGGCTTTAGGGACTGCGGTGGTCACTTGCAGATGAAGGCTCATGTTTATGTCCAACCTGCAGCCTGTCCTCTTTTTTTAACTTTTGCCTTCTTTTTATTTTCATTTTTTTGAGTGAAGAGGAATTGTCTTCAGCTCTATGTAAAATATCTCCTATAGTTATATTGGTTAGGTTTTCTAGAGGAATAGAATCAAGATAAATGCAAAGGGATTTATTAGATGGGTTTACAGGGTCAGAGCAGGGAGAGTTCACGGTAGCCATCTGAGTGTTGGAGAGCCAGAGAGAAGATCCAGTAGCTGCTCAATCCAGGGAGCTGGAAGCTGCAGAATAGAATGAAAGGGGTCAAGGATACAGCAAAAGTTCAAGACTGAAGGCCCAGAAGCTCTGTGGAGATTTGCTGGTGTGAGTCAACACTCAAAGATGAAAGAAACTGGAGCCTGATGTCCAAGGGTAATGGCAATAGCAATGGATTTCCTCAGATTCCTAGATTCCTCCTCCTCCTTCCCTTTTCCTTCCGTCTGAATTGCAAGCCTGCTGGGTGGTACTCGTCATAGTCAAGGCAAGTCTCCCCTGAACCTTCCCAGTTTGCTGATCTATTTGCCAATCACCAATGGTTTAATCGTGTCTTCAAGGTTAACGTGTGGGGGGTGTTGAGAGGTGGGTCCTAAAGGAGGTGTGTAGCATGTAAGGACATCACAGTCCTGATTGTGATTCTCACAGAGTGGCTTTGTTATCAAAGCAAGCTCTTTTTAAAAAATTATTCTTAAGTATTTTAATATTTTAGATTTTACCACACATGAAATTGTTTTTTTGCTGTCTTTATTCAGGTAGCCTAAAAATGTAGCTGATTTTTGTATTTTGACTTTGTATTCCAGATATTTTAATGGCTCTATTTGTTATTCCTTTTTTTATTTTCTGGAAATAAGTGAAACAATTTCATAACAATATAATAGGAGAATGACATTACATGTTACCTTTAAAGTAGTTGCTCAAGGTATAGGATATGGGCATAAAAATTTCTCCAATTGATATTAGCACAAACTTTCCTTTTTCAATGATGTGAGAGACACTAATGGCATAACTGATTTGCATTTTTTCCCTTTTCCCTACTGACCTTTCTCCTTTCACCCATCCTATTCTTTTTTCTTTTGAACAATGTCTTTCCATTTCACAATATCTATTGTATATTTTGGACCTTATATACTCTTTCAATTTCTCATACAGAAAGACAGCAAGATGTTCACACATGAGTCTGATTTAGTTGACTAATGAGTATGGTCTCAAATTGCACCCATTTATCTATAAAAACATGAAGTTTATCATTCTTTATGGATGAAGAGTACTTCATTGTATAAAAGTATCATGACTTTTTAATCCATTCCTTGGTTTATAAGTATTTAGGTTATTTCCAAGATTTCACTATTACAAATTGCACTGTTATAAACATGGCTGCAGTTATATTGCTGTGGTATAATGGTTTCAATTTTTCTAGGAAGATACCCAGAAGCGGAATAGCTGAGTCAAATGGGACCTCTAGTCCTAATCTGTGACAAATCTTCTTTCTGATTTCCACAGCGGTTGTTACCAGTCTACACTTCCACTAACAGTGGAGAGAAGCCCCTTCTTCCCCACAGCCCCACTACTATTTGTTTTGGTTGATTTTTTGATGATAGCCATTCTTTCTGGGGTGAGACAGAATCTCAGTGTTGTTTTAATTTACATTCCTTGAATGACCAGTGATGTGGAAATTTTTTTCATGTATTTACTTGCCCTTTGTATTTCTTAATTTGAAGGTGCTCACCTTAGATGCCAATTTTTGGATTGGATCTTTGAATTTTGGGGGCCTGGTCTTTTAAAAATTATTTATATGTTCTAGATAGAAGTCCTTTGTCTGTGGGACAACTGGATAATTTTTTTTTTTACTCTGTGGATTGTCTTTTCACACTTTTGGTGATTTTTTTTTGCCGTGCATAGGCTTTTTATTTTTAATTTTAAAGAGCTAAAACTAAACATAACAAAACAGAACAAAACAGATCAGAAGAAAATAATGTGACACAGATTTCAAAGCAAGACAACAAGAGATCTGCAGTGACTACCATAATGTTCCTGTTTTCTTCTACATAGTTGTCCATATCTTCACACACAGTGAATTCATGCAAAACAAAATAGTATCAAACTGATCAGAACAGAGTACTGAAGCCATTACAGGCCTTTGCAACTAAACAATAGGAGAATCAACAATGGTTGCCATAATGTCTCTTGTTCTCTTCAAAATAGCTGTCCATACTTTCATGTATGTTGAAATTAAACAATACAAAACATTACTGGATTTCACAGCATGATGGTAGGAATCAGCAATGGATACCATTATGTGTCTTTTTCTTCAGAGTAGCTGTTCATTTATCATGCATAATATAATCAATTCTTGTAAACTGTTCAGGAGAAGTCCTACTCATGTATAAACCTCTACATGTATACCTATCCTTTTTGTATTGGAGGGGAAAACAAAACAAGACAAAACAAAACAGATTACTAAAAAAATAAGAAACAAAAAAGATGAATAAATAACAATAGCAGATAGTCCAAAACAATGACAATATAGGCCTTCAAAACAAGGTGATTGGAACATAACTAAGGTTGTTATTTTACATAATGATCTTCAAGAGTTTCTCAGATCATCAGGCACAAGTATGCAAAATTGTTCCAATCCTATGAATGTTAACTGTTTTGTTCCAAGAACTTAAAGAATTTGTAGCACAATCATCTCAGCTAACCTAAGTGTGTTTATACAAATTAAGATTTTTTTTTCTTTTCCCTTCCTTTTTCTTTTTCATCCTTTTCCCTGAGATATTATTTTTTCCCCTTTGAGCAGATTCTTACCCTTTCACTGTATTTATTGAGGATTTTGTATTTTATGTACTCTTACCATTTCTTACACTAGGGAGACAATACGATATTTACACATGTGAGTTTAATTTATTTCATTTATGAATATGGTCTCGAGTTTCATCCATTTACTTATAAATATCTCAATGAGGTATTTCAGGAGACCAAAGGAAGATGGTGGATCGATAAGTAGCAAAGTAAAGAGCCTTTCTGGGAGAAACAGCTCAGACGCTGGAGTTTGATATCATAGAGAGGACCAGATGAAAAACTAAAGCAAGGAAAAAGGAAGAAGGAAAGAGAGAGAGAGAAAAAAAAAGGCAAAGAGAGAGCTGGATGGAAGGCTGTAGCAAGATGTGCTCTAACCGGGGCTGATCCCAATGTGTGTGAGGCACCATTGGAAGCTGAAGGATGTGTGGTTGCAAGCCAGAGGATTGGTGAGCCCAAAGGATTGGAGAGTTCGAGGGCCTCAGTGGGAGGACATAGTCATTGAGGGAAGTGGTGGAGTGGAGAACGGAGCTGGCATCTTTCCTGTTCAGTAGTCTTTCAGCAGATTTAGTGTTTCTGTTTTAACATTTAGATCTTTGATCCATGTTGACTTTAGTTTAGTACATGGTGATAGGCATAGGTCTAGTTTTAGTTTTTGGTATATGAAGAGCCAAGTTTTCAACATCATTTATTAAAGAGACTATCTTTCTTCCAGTAAATGTGTTTGGCCCCTTTATCAAATATAAGGTGTCTGAGTGTGTTTGTAGTTGTATCTTCTGATGATATCCCATTGATCTTCAGGTCTGTTTTTATTTCAGTACCATGCTAATTTTGTCACAATAGCTTTGTAATATAGCTTCACATCAGGGATTGTGATGTCTCCTGTCTTGTCTTTGTTGCTCAGAATTGCCTTTGCTATTCTAGGTGTTTTCTGGTTCCAGATGAATTTTAGGAATGACCTCTCTAGATCTGTGAGGTATGCTAGTGGTATCTTGATTGGGATTCCATGAAATTTGTATAACAATTTTGGGAGAATGACCATTTTCATAATATTTGTTCTTCTTCTCCATGAACAAGGAATGTCTTTCCATTTTCTGAGATCCTCTTCAATTTATTTTTTCAGGGTATTACAATTTTCCCTGAATAGGTGTTTTACTTCTTTTGTTAGGTTGATTCTAATGTATTTCTTTTTTTTTGGATGCTATTGTGAAGGTGGCTTCTCTTATTTCTCTTTCAGTGTTTGTTGTTTGTGTATAGAAATGCTATTGATTTTTGAGTGTTGACTTTGATTCCAGCTACATTAGTGAATTTAGTTATTATACCTAGGAGTCTTTCAATGGAGTTTTGAGGGTCTTCTATATAGAGTATCATGTCATCTGGTAATAATAATTTAACTTCTTCTTTTCACATCCCACTACTTTTATTTCTCTCTTTTATCTAACTGCTCTGGCTAGTATTTTCAGTACTATATTGAATAAGAGTGGTGATAATGGACATCCTTGTCTTGTTCCTTATTTTAGAGTAAAGGCTTTCAGTTTTTGAACATTTAATTTGATGCTGGCTGTTTGTTTGTCATAGATGGCTTATATCATATTCAGGTAAAGATATCTATTCCATTTTTGTAAGGTTCTTATCATGAATGAATGTTGGACCTTATCAAAAGCTTTTTCTGCATCTATAGAAATGATCACGTGATTCTTATTTTTGGCGTATTGATATGGTGGATTACATTTATTGATTTGTGTAGTTGAACCATCCCTGCATTCCTGGGGTGAATCCCACTTGGTCTTGGTGTACAATCTTCTTGATGACTTGGTGTGTTCTGTTTGCCAACATTTTACTGAGAATTTTTGTATCTGTGTTCATTAGGGAAATTGCCTGTAGTTCTTTTTTATTGGTTGGGTCCTTCTCTGGTTTTGGCGTTAGAGTAATACTTGCTTCCAGGAATCAGTTAGGGAGAATTGCTTCCTTTTCAATTTCACTGAAGAGTCTGAGAAGTGTCAGCATTAAGTCTTCCTTGAATTTCTTGTAGAATTCCACAGTGAATCTATTTGGACCTGGGCTTTTCTTTGTTGGTAAGGTTTTAATTGCATTTTAAACTTCATTAATTGAAATTGGGTTATTTAGCAGTTTTACATCTTCTTGAGGAAGCTTTAGTAATTCATATGTTTCTAGGAATCTGTCCATTTCTTCTGTGTTGTCAAGCCTATGAGAGTAGAGGTTTTCAAAAGAGGTATTGATGACCTTCTGTATTTCCACAGGGTCTGAAGTGACTTCACCCTTTTCATTCCTTATTGTATGAATTTAAGTTTTTTCTTTCCTTTTTGAAATAAGGTTGGCTAGGGGCTTATCAATTTTATTTATTCTTTCAAAGAACCAACTCTTTGATTCATTGATGCTTTGTATTGTTTTCTTAGTCTCTATTGCATTAATTATGCTCTGATCTTTAAAATTTCCTCCCTTCTTTTGGCTTGACTTGTTCTTCTTTTTCTAGATGTTTGAGTTGTAGCATCAGGTTGTTTATTTGTGTTCATGCTGTTTTCCTGATGTGGGAATTCACCACAATAAATTTTCCTCTGAGGACTGCTATATTACATAGGTTTTGCTAAGTTGTATTTGTATTTTCATTTGCTTGTAAATATTGTTTAATTTCTTCTCTAATTTCTTCTGTGACCCACTGATTGCTCAGGAGTGTATTATTGAATTTACATGTGTTTTTGGGCTTTTTGAAGTTTCTTTGTCATTAATTTGTAGTTTCATGCTGCTATAATCTAATAACCTACATAGGATAATTTTAGTTCTTTTACATTTACTTAAGTATGTTCTGTGGGCCAGTATATTGTCTATTTTAGAGAATGTCCCATGTGCTGCTGAGAAGGATGTATATTCTGATGTTGTTGAGTGGACCACTCTGTATACATCCACCAAGTGTATTTATTTGTTCACAGATGTGATTCAGTTCTGTTATTTCTTTGCTGATTTTCTATCTAGTTGATTTGTCTCACTGTGAGAATGAGATGTGGAGGTCCTCCATTACAATTGTATTATTGCTTATTTGATTTTTCATTTCTGTTGATATTTTTTTTGTATAGCTAGGTACTTCCAAATTTGGTGCATAGATACTTTTTTTTTTTTTTAATTTAAGAGGAAAAAGAGAAAAACACAAAACAAACCAAAGCGGTGTAAGGGTACACGTAATACAGAACTACAAAAAAACAACAACAACAACAACAACAACAACAAAAAAAAACATAACAGTAAGAAATCACCTGTTAGTAGATTACATATTATCATCTTGAAAATAGTTCCTCAAATCACAGTATCAAAGAATACAAGGTGAACATTCAAATAGGGAGACTGCAAACAGCTGTGTTCAATGATCCAAAAACATTGATATAGTCAGCTATTTAATACCCCTAAACACACTTGCTGTTATATCCATTAGAGCTCTTTTTCTTTTTTTTTTCCCTCTCTTTTTTACAACAAAATTTACACATTTTGGATTTTATTACTCCTTAGTGCTTATTACTTTTTTGGGGGGGGGAGAGAATACAGTCAAATATGGCAAAACAAAGCTGTCAGTCAATACCAAGGATAGACATAGCACATGGTGTAGAACAGAGTACAAGTTTATCAACAATGGTTATCAACGTTGTCCCTTGTTTCCTTAAAAAGAATTGTCTATCTCATTAGATATTATAAAGTTGGACAAAACAGTAGAGAACAAGACCAATAAAACTTAGGCATTGTAAACATTACAGGACTTCCAGAGAAGACAATAGTCAAACCAGAATGGGTATCTTAGTGAATCTTATTGTCTTCAAAGTAGTTGCTTATGTCTTCAAACTTGATACTATCATATTGAATGGAACAGAGTCTAATCAGTCAAAACAAGATCATGGGAGTACTACAGGACTTCAAAACAAGTTAATAGGAAATCAAAAAGAGTTACTATTTATATATCCTAATTTTTTTAATTTTTTCTTTAATTAAGACAAACATAAGAAATGACTAAATAATTTTTTTAAAACAATAAGGGGGAGATTGAGATAAAACAGGACATAACAATATAACAATAGAGGTCACAGCATGACTCTTTCAACAACCTAGTACTTCACCACCATATAACCTGACTTAATAGTAGTTACCATAGTGTCTTTTTCCTTGAAATATTTGGATAAAATTTCATATACTCTAGCTTCAAATATTTTCATATCAAGAAGGCCAGAATAAAGCCTTTCTAATTAATGAGTGAAAACTTTATAAGGCTTCAAGGCCACCTAATGGGGAATCATGATTACCACATATTTTTATATATTTGAATCATTACTTACATTAGGGAAACTATTCGGTATTCACACATGTGAGATTGATTTATTTCACTTATGAGTATGGTCTCAAGCTGCGCCCATTTATTGATAAATATCTCAATGTGATCCTTCTTTATAGCTGAATAATACTCCATTGTATAGAAATACCACAACTTTTTTATCCATTCCTCAGTTGATGGACACTTGGGTTGTTTCCAAGATCTGGCGATTACAAATTGTGCTGCTATAAACATAGGTGCACATATATCACTGTGATATGATGCTTTCAGTTCTTCTGGGAATGGTGCATAGATACTTAAGATTGTTATCTCTTCCTTTTGAAGTTTCCCCCTAAACTAGTATGTAGTTACCTTCTTTATCTGTTTTGCTCATTCTTGTTTTGAATTTCACATTGTCTGCAAACAGAATAGCTATCCATACTTCTTTGGTGGGGGAGGATTCTTGTTGCATGAAGTATTGTTTTCTATCCTTTGACTCTCAGTCTGAGTTTTCTTTTGTGTTAGATGGATTTTTTTGTATACAGCATATGGTTGAATGTTGTTTCTTGATCTATTCTGCCAGTCTATTTCTTTTAATTGGTGAATTGAGGCCACTTATATTAATGGTTATAAGTGATATATATTGATTTATTTTTGACATGTTATCATTCTGCTGTGGCTTCTTTACCTTGCAACTCTGTTTGTTTTCCTTGCTCAGTGGTGTTTTCATATGTCTATCCAGAATGTCTATCAGTATTCTTTGCAGGGTTGGTTTGGTGGTCATGAAGTTCTTCACCTGTTCTTTGTCTTAGAAATATCTTATTTCTTCATCCATTTTGAAGGATAGTTTTGCAGGGTAAATCAATATGGGTTGAAAGTTGTTTTCTTTTAAGATCAGAAATACTTCACCCCATGCTCTTCTTGATTTCATTGTGTTAAGAAATTTGCTGTGATTCTGATAGGCTTTTCTTTATAGGTATGTGTCTCTTCTCTCTAACAGCTTTTCATATTCTGTTCTTATGTTGGATTTCTAGGATGTTGATCATTGTGTGTTTGGGTGTGGTTTTATTTTGGTTATGGATATTTGGAGTTCTATATGCTTCACTGATCTACATATCAGTTTCCATTCTCATGTTGAAAATTTTCAGCTATTCTATAGCCTCATATCATTTGTGTTGTCACTTTCTTTTTCATTTATATTTATCCGTCGTATGTTGTTCTTTGCATCATCTTGCAGCTGTTGAATTATTTCCTGATTCCTTGTTATGTTTGAAAGATCTTTCCTTTACTGTTCACTAGCTGCAGTCTTGTCTTTGAGGTCTAAAAGTCTATCTTCACTTTCATTGAGGTGGTTTTGCCGACCTTCAATGACAATTTTGATTTCCTGTGTATCTCTTTGAATCTGTTTCATGCATTCTGTTTGTTTCTTATATTGTTCATTCAAGGTTTCCATCTTTTTGCATTATTCCTTTACTTTTTTTAACTATGTCTTCTTTAGATGTGTTCAGCATTTCTTTCATTACATTCATCATTTCTTCTTTACCTGGGAGATTACTTCTGATATGAGTTCTTTTATAGTTTCCCAAAGTTGTTTCTTTACTTCAGTTGCTATTATTTAAGGAATTTTGAATGTTTGGCTTACATTTTCTTCTATGTCCATGTATCCTAGGCGTGCCTGGGATAGGCTTCAGGTTTTTCAAGGTAGGTTTTGATGATCTTCTGAATTTCTGCAGGATCTGTAGTGACTTCAACCTTTCATTTCTTTCTGAAAGAGTTTGAGTTTTTTTGATAAAATTGGCTAGGAGTTATCAATTTTATGTATTCTTTCAAAGAACCAACTTTATGATTCATTAATTCTTTGTATTTTTTCCTTAGTCTCAGTTGCACTAATTTCTTCCCTGATCTTTATAATTTCCTCTCTTTGGGCTTTAGACCTGACTTGTTCTTCCTTTTATAGAAGTTTGAGGTGTAGCATTAGGTTGTTTATTATTCAGTTTTCCTCATGTAAGAATCCACTTCTATGAATTTCCTTCTGAGGACTGCTTTTGTTGTGTCTCATAAGTTCTGGTAGTTGTATTTACATTTTCATTTGATTGTGTATATTGTTTAATTTGTTCTTTAATTTCATCACTAACCCATTAGTTGTTCAGTAAGGTGATATTTAATTTGCATATGTTCATGGAGCTTTTGCAGTTTCTTTTGTCATTAATTTCCAATTACATTGTATTATGAACAGATAATATACATAGGCTATTTCCTACTTCTTTGTATTTACTTAAGCATGTTCTGCCCACTAGTAAATGATCTATTTTAGAGAACATCCCAGGTGCACTCACTAGGAGAAAGTGTATTTTGACATTGGGTGGAACACCGTGTTGCATCAACCAAGTCCAGTTTTTCACAAATTTGATTCAGTTCTGTTATTTCTTTGCTTATTTTATGTGCAGTTGATTTGTCTCATTGTGAGAATGAGATGTTAAGGTCCTCCATTATAATTGTATTATTGCTTATTTGATTTTTCATGTCTATTAATATTTGTCTTAGTTGGGTGCTCCCATATTTGGTGCACATTTATGACTGTTTTCTTCCTCTTGAATTTTTCCCATAACAAGTATGTAGTGACCTTTTAAAAAAATCTCTTTTAATCATTTCAGAAATTTTAGTGTGTTATTTCCAAATTCATCCCTGTCCCTGTTTGCTGGACTTGATCTGGATGGACTGGAAGTTTGAGAATGTATTTTGTTGTTTCATTTTGGCATTTCCCTTTGTTCCTCTGAATCAGCTGGATGCCAAATCCTAGTTGCTTCCTGCTTTGGTGGCCCACCTGGTGTGCACTCCCAGTCCCTGTGGGCTTCAGAAATGATTCCAGTGTGGTGGATTTCTGATTGCTGCTTCCTAGTCCCCATGAGCCTCACCTACTGCTGTATTGTGTGGGTAGATAACTGGGTGCAGTCTCTGTGGGCCTCACTGAGGGTTTGTAGATAACTGGGGGTCACTGGGCACAGACTCTAAGTCCTTGTGGGCCTCAGAAATGGTTCACAGATATGGATAGGTCATTGGGAGCAGACTCCAAGTCCATGTGGGCCTCACTGAGAGTTCCCAAATGACCATGTGTTGTTGTGTGTGGACTCCTGTCTCCACAGGCCTCAGAAATGGTTCCTAGGTGTGGATGGGTAACTGAGGGGGACTCCCAGTCACCAAAACCCCCACCAAGGTTTCCTGGGTGACTTGGGGTTGCTGGGCATGGACTCTTAGTCCCTGCAGGTCTCAGAGATGATTTCTAAGTGTGGAAAGGTTGCTGTGGGGGAAGAGACTGGATTTTATTTCTTGATCTATAGTGTAGTCTGTTTCTTTAAATTGGTGAATTGAGGCCATTTACATTGATGGTTGCAACTGACATGTATCTACTTACCTTTGCCATGTTACTTTGCTGTTGTTGGTTCTCTGCTTTCCCCCTCTGTTTTACTGCTTGCCCTGCTTGGTGTTTCTTTCTGTTGTTGTTCTTGGCATTGTGGTCAGCTTTATTTCTGTCTAGAATATATTTTAGTATCCTTTGTAGTGTTGATTTGGTAGACATGGATTTCCTCAGTTGCTCTTTGTTGTGGATGTACCTTATTTCTTCATCGGTTTTGAAAGATAGCTTAGCAGTGTACTTCAATCTGGGTTGGAAATTGTTTTCTTTCATCATTTTAAATAGTTCACTCCAAGTTCTTCTTGACTTGAGGGTTTGTGTTGAGAAGTCTGCCATGATTCTGATAGACTTACCTTTTTGGTGATCTGTTTCTTTTCTCTAATATTTCATATTTTGTCTTGTACTGAATTTCTAGGATCTTGATTATTATATGTATAAATTTATTTTGGTTGTGGATAATTGGATTTCTATGTTCCCACCTATCCATAGGTCAGATTCTTTTCCCATGCTTGAGAAATTTTCTGTTGTTACTTCTGCAACTAGTTTTTTTTTTAAATGCCTGTACTGACACTTTTTTTTCATTGACACCAATAATTCTTATAATTTTTTTTTTTGGTGTCATCTTGCAGCCATTGAATTGTTATTTCCTGGTCCTTTGTTATTTTCAGGAGATCTCTTCTTTCATGATTGCTAGTGAAGAACCTATCATCAAGCTCTGAAAGTCTGTCTTCAGTTTTGTTCAAGTGGTTTTGCCAGCTTTCAGTGGAATTTTTAATGTCCTGGATATCTGTTTGAGTCTGTTTCATGCATTCTGTTTCTTTTCTACATTGATCACTCATGGTATGCATCCTCTTTCTATCACCATCTATTTTATTTTTATTTCTTTGGTACCAAGGATTGAACTCATCACCCTGGGCTTGCCAGTTAGGTGCTCCCATGGCTAATCTAACTACCTAGCCATTTGTTTTCTTTAAATCTATCTGTATTCTAGATTTGCTGAGTAATGCTTTTATAAATGTTGACATTTGTTTTTTCTTGCCTGAGAGATTATTTTTGATGTGATTTCCTCTATAGCCTCATGGATTTGTTTGTTTACTTCAGTAGCTATTATTTCAGAAATGTTAGTTGTGTATCTTCCATTTCCCCCAATCTCATTGTTTCCTGGAGCTATTCTGTGTGAGTTGGATACCCGAGGATGCATTTTGCTTCTTTATCTTGTCATCTTCTATTTTGAAAGTTTTTATTTTATTTTCTGTGATGATTTTTGTAATAGATACCTTTATTACTACTATCATGGCCTTTATAGGTAAGGTTTGTTCTTTAGGGGTATCTTCTGTGTATATGATGTTCTTGGTTTGAAGAGCCTACTTTTCCAATTAAGTAAAGGTAAGATATTGGTATCTGTTTGTCTCAGTGCCCAGTCCTTTGGTGTTGAGGTGTAGTGAGGTTATTACTCCAGAATTTTCTTGTATTATTACAGAAGTGAGAACAACTGATTAAAACAAGTATGATATCCTATTTAAGTAGTATAATTAGCAATAACAAGAACATCAAGCACAGTTTAGAAACTGACAAACCGTGGTAACTATTAATTTTGTACCTTTAAGCATAGAAGCAAATTCTACAATTATGTCACAAAATGGATGGTAAATTAGGAGCTTGTATGCAAAATGTTTTCTCTTGGTAGAGTGGTTTTACCTTGTGGTAGGGAAATTTAAGAAGGACAGTTGGTAAAATAAAGATAACTGAAAAGAAAGAAGTCAGATTGGAGGGCAAAGGATGATCACACAAGCTTTGGGAAACTATAGACTGAGGCAGAAGAGAAAGAATAAAAGAGTAAACAAGGAATTATCTGAACTTGGTCTCTCAGTTTGGGGGATGGAATTAGTTTATTGTGGCCAGAGTTCTCCCTAGCTTTTTAAAAAGAGAAAAAAGAGAAGGAAAGAAAAAGAAAAAAGAAAGAGATAAGGTAAAGCCCCATCCACCTGATTCTAGTCTCTGTGTCTTTGTCCCCAAATATAACATGGGTTCACCTAAATTACCACATATTGGGTCATGTTGTTACTATTTCTTTTGAGAGTTTCACTTTGCTTGTCCTTCCTGTCCATCCTGTGCATGGTGGCTGGGGGTCTTATTGTGTGGCTGATGTTCCTGAGGATTCCACTCAGTTTACCTGAATTCCAGCAGCTTTAGTGAGCTCATCTCTGATCCTTCTTGCACTGTTCAGATGGATCCCACCAGCCACAGTTGGCGAAGCCAGTTTCTGGGCTTTCCTACAGTGGCTGTTGACATGGATCCCAGCAACGCACATCTCTCTCTAAAAGCAAACTATTTTACATGTTGATCCTTGCCTTTCTGCTCTTCTTCCCCACTATGACTAGAGTATTGGGACCTTCACCGAAAGCTCACGTCATGCTCTTGGACTTGTAAGTGTGAAGAACCATGAACTTCTTTTCTTTGTAAGTTACCCAGTCTGTAGTATTCTGCTATAAAAACAGAAAGAAAGAAAGAAAGAGAGAAAGAAAGAAAGAAAGAAAGAACTAAGACATGCATGTTATTATCAGTGTCTTCTAATCAAATGCAAAATAACAGCACTGCTAGGGTTTCCAGAGAGTGGCAGAACTTGAAAATGCAGGTTTTCATAATTTTTTCCTGATAGGCAACTTGATCTTAGAATTGAGAGGCAAGTCTGTGAGGAATTAGTTGGCTCTAAAGATGGGATTGAACTGTAAGATTTGGTACCTTGTGTAAAAAAAAGTTGTTCATACTTTGGGACTAGCTTCATCACCTTGGAGTTTTATGAAGTCCAGGGGACCGAAATAAAGAGATCCAGAGTGAATATAGATAGAGTGTGGGGTAAATTGTGTCCCCTTAGAAGATATGATGAGTCCTAATCCAAGTACATGTAAATGTAGCTTTATTTGGAAATAGGACATTTGCATCTGTGATTAGTCCAGAAGAGGTCCTACTAGGTTAGAGTTGCACTAAATACAATGACTAATGTTTTTGTCAGAAGCTGTTTGACGAGAGGGAAAACATTAGGTGGAGACTGAGCCAGAGATTTGAGCGATCTATTTATGTGCCAAAGAGTTCTAGGGAGAAGACAAGAGACAAATGTGGAATAGATTGTCCCTCTGAGCCTGAAGAAACTATCAAGTTTGCAGACACTTTGATTTTGCACCTGTAGCCTCCAGAATCATGAGACAATACATTTCTGTCATTTTAAACTACAAGGTTTTTGCAACTTTGCTCCAACGACTTGAGAAAACTAATACAGGTGGGATGGGATAGACATTCATGAAAATAATTGCTTTGGATGATGATAATTATGACTCAGAGAGAATAGAGGTGCAGCAAGTGTCTGGAAGCTTACAGCAAAGAGTAATTTCAGAGGACGATGGGAATTACAGTCTCAGAATCTCCATACAAATGTACAGCCTTTGAAATAAAAGAAACTAATGACACAAAGTGGTGGATGTGATATTTTAAATTCACCAAGAATTGGATTGGGATGCAGCACTGGTATGAACTAAAATAAAAGGAAGACAGCCTTTACCTTCACAGCTTCTGCCTCTGTAGATTCAACCCACCATGGATCAAAAATACTGCAAAACATTCTGTATGTTACAAGTATGTTCATACATTTGGCTTTAGCTTTCTAAATAACACATCAGAACAGCTATTTGCATAGCATGTATGCTGAACTGGTTATTTAAGTAATCTAGAGATGATTTTTTTTATTTTGAAGAGAATAAAACCAAATGAGACAAAACAAAATAGAGTCAATCAACACAAAAAGATCAACATGGTACATGACTTAAAAACAAAATATAAGGACATCAATAATGGCTACCATAGAGATGACTTAAAAGATGCAGGAGGATGTGAGTAGGTTATATGCAAATACTATGCCATTTTATGTAAAGGACTTGATATTGTGGATTTCAGTCGTGGAGAGGTACTTGAAACATTCTCCTGAGGATACTGAAAGACCATGTTCACCCATTACATAAAGTGGCATATTGTATAGAAAAAGTCCGAGGAAGCCAGAAATCCTGGGTTTAGGGTGAAGATATAAACAACGATACATGGAGTGATACTCTTTTTTGTTTTGTTCTTGTTTTTGGTATGAAGGATTAAGTCCAGAGCATTTGCACTGACCTATACCTCCAGGCCATTTTTAGTTTTTATTTCTTTTTTTAATGAGAGACAGCAGCTCACTAAGTAGCCCAGGAGGAACATGGATTTGTACTTCAGCCTCCCAAACTACTGCGATTACCACCAAACCTCATAGGAGCAACATTCTTAAAAGCATACTAAGGGCTCTGAGAACCTCCAGGTAGACTAGGCCACAGACTGGGTCATAGTCAAAATGTTAGGGTAGAGGGCTTTAGTCATCTCTACAGAAGTGCGGTGGGGCCTATCTGGCTGAAATCAAGAAATTGTGACATTTTTACATGGTTTTACTGACAGTTTAGCTTACAAAGGGCAATGACTAAAGAATTTTCATTGTGACCTTAATTATGAGCTGCTAATTGCTTGGTAAAGTGGAAATGACAAGAATCTTAAGATAAAACCAGATGGGATTTCTCTTTTTAGAGTGACCAAGGCTTCATGCAGTTTATGAATGAGAAGTAAAGGAAAACAGAATTGTGCAACAGATTAAAAAGCTTAAAGAGCATCCTTTTTGTAGATGTATCTGTGAGTGTGATTTTTTTTTTTTAAATCAGGAACTGAATTCAAGACCTCATGATTGCTAGGTAGGCACCAGGCTGCTGAGCTGTATCCCTGGCCTTTGCGTGTGATTTGTTGTTGCTGTTGTTTGAGATAGGATCTCATTCTGTAGTCCAGGCTGGCCTTGAACTCATTAGTAGCCCAGGCTGGCCGCAAACTTGGTGATGATCCTCCTGTCTCAGTCTCTCAAGTGCTAGGATTACAGGCATGCACCACTATGCCCAGCCTCTTGTGTAGTTTTTATTGGTGAATGATACAACATTCTATAGGCTTTTCTTCTTTTACTCCCTTCCCCCTGAATGCCGCATAATTCTAACTTTTAAGCCAATTATTAAAGATGTTAAATGCTGCATTTGAAAACTGAAATTTGCTAGTGCTATTGTTGCCTAAGGGTGAAAATGGGGTTCAGCTAGGGCCCCATAAACTCACTTGTATGCTGCACAGAGGTGGTGAGCACTCTTGCGGTTTTCTGGAAGGACTCATGGTATCACTAAGGACGCTGGCAGGATGTGCTTTTAATCTGTCCAGTATAGATGGCTGTTTGCTTTGATTCCCCAGTATTAATTTAGACTGTTAAACATTGCTAGATAAATCTTATAATATTTTGCTAGCACTGTGGTGTGAAATGAAAATAATGGTATCATTTGTATATGTTGAAACTATAGTTTTCCAAAAATTACATCTTTGGTTATGCACTCTTATGTATAATAATTTGAAATAGTGACTTTCTATGGTAAAGCAAAGGTATGCAGTGCTTATACCCTCACCAAATACACTGTATTTTACAATGAGCAGTGTGGATCATGGTCTTGTGTAAACTATTTAAGTCCCTCTTTCGTCTATGAACTGGTATAACAAGACCCACCTCAGTGAAGATTGCATGGCATCATGTATGCATATTGTTTGAACAGTAATGTAAAATATTGAGGATTTTACAATGTAAGTTTTTCTAAAATGTCAAATAACATTTGAATTAAAATGAAAGAAAACCCTTTCATGTATTGTTTTTTAATAAATGGAAACCATATGTAGGCTATTTTAGCTATCTAGGCTATTTTAGTTATCTGAGGCTATTTTAACAAATGTTTTAGAACTTTAAATGCATGTATGTACTGTGCTCACCGACAATAAAATGGTGACAGTGTTATTTACTGCACTCTGTGAGCATACGGGTGAAATTTCTGTACAACTTGTGTCTTGTTTTACACACCTCAAAGGAAGTGTTCTATAAAAGAAGAAAAGCATTCAAAACATTCAGATGTGTATCATTCGTGAAAGTCTCTAAGTGTTTATGAGGCAAAGTAGACAGTACTTTGCACAAATTCAAACTATTCCACTAGTGGAAACCTTAGAAAAAGGGCTTTGAATCCAGGGCTCTGTTTGAATCAAGATCCATTAATATATTATGTTAACAGATGTGCCATTGGTGCAATTGGATTTTCAAAGAAATGGCTAGTTTGTATTTTGAAATGAGCAGCTTATGTTATGCTTGAAAAGGAAGACAGTGGTGAATTTAGGAGAAAATATTTTCCTAATGGTTACGTATTAATGGTGGTCAAAGATAATAATGACTGTCAACTAGTCAGCACCAACCACTTCCGACACATATGACCTAGATATGGTCCTTTGATCTTCCCTTAGAGCTGCCTCGTTTTTTTTTTTTTTTTTTTTTTTTTTTTTGCTTAAATTTCAGGTGTGGCAAGAGTCTCGCCTTCTCCATATGTGGCCCATGAGTTACCATGAACAGCGATTTTATCACTTTGTCTTTCTTTCAAAAAAAGGTAAAGTGAGTTATTTGGTGCCATCTATGAAATATGTGGAGGATTAGGAGCAGGGAACTCCAAATTCTGTGGAAATAAGTGAAGACCAAACAAATAAGAACAAGCAGGGTCTGTTACTGAGAGTTTGCTGCAGCAAGGAAATCCACCACTGTCATTTGTGTTTTGACAGAATCAACAGCAGGTAAAGTGGGGAGCCCAAATATGTAGCAGGGAAAGGAGGGGAAGGTTTCCAGTGTGCTTATGTTGGGGCTCACAAGCCTGAGGAACCTGAAAGCAGCTAACTAGAAGCAGGGCATCCTATGGAGCTAGTTGGAGATATACAACTCATGGGCTTTAGTTGGCCCTCTGTTGGGACCAGAGACAAAAAATAAGAAAGCTGTCATTATTAATTATGTTCTGGTTGTTTTGGGGTGATTGTTATAGGAGTTATTGTTTGGTTTCCTGAACCACCTGCTAGCCCATGGGGAATAATGCTAATTTTGGCATAAAGGCTTGTTGTGGGTGTAAAATACCCACACTTATTCTTTAGAATATTTCTATTGATGAAATTTTAATTTTATGAGCTTTATTATAGTAAGTTATGAGTATTTAACAGGAGAAAATATAAAAAATATTTAATTTTTAATATTTAATAAGTGTTTATTAAAAAAGCATCAGCATTTTCAACATCAACTGTTTTCTGGTTTACAAAGTCAAAAAAACAACAGAAATTTCCTATATGAACTACAATGAAAATACAAATAGCATTCTACAAAAGAAACCTTACTTCAATTATCACACCTAAGGCAGTCTTCACACATGACATCAGTATATTTCATACAGATGTGTTGCTTACACTGACAGCACATGTGTTTTGCTTTCCTGGCCTTTTTTGTAGATATACTTGACATTGACTGGTCTTGCTGTTTGCTCAGGAGGTTCTTATTATATTATATTATGTGTAGTTAACAGGAACAAAAAATATTCATAAATTATTAAATTCTTAATATGTAGTACACTTTTAGAATAAACAACATTTTCACATTAACTGTGTTCTTGCTTACAAAACCTAAAAGATAATATCAGAAATAAGTTCCTATATGAACTAAAGTGAAAATATCAATGAAAGTCTGTAAAAAGTCTTTCTTTCAATTTTCTTTACACATTACAACTGTATGCTTCATGCACACATCTCCCTTACACAGAGTACTTAGCTGTCTCTTCCTGCATGGCAAACCATTCTTGTCAACTCTGTTGTTTTTCTGTTTTGTCAGAAGTTTTCTACCATATTATATAATGTGCACTTAGCGGGCACAAATTTTTGCATTTGCCGTGCGCAGAAACATTCTGCTTTTCCTTTGCTGTAAATGATTGCTTATGAGCTCCAATCCCTATCCACTAAGAAAATTTCTCTGTGATACTTGCACTTGTTATTTCTTTTTTTAATAAACCATCAAACCATTTGAACCACACATGTAGGATCAAGGAAAATACAACCCTTGGCCAATTCTTTGTGTTTCAAGTGACATCATAGTTGCGGCATAAAATAATTAACATCTTTTCCATCTTTGGTTTTGGGTTACCATAGTTCAGCCAAAAGAGGTGTCATAATTAATACATTTTTAAGTATGGCTATTGGTACATGTAGAGCATTTTACCTGCATTTCGGCATTTGTATAACATGTTGTAGCATTTCACCTGTTACAAACAATCTCCAACACTGAATCATCTCTGCTAAGTTCCTCATTATGTTTTAAGACATAGTTCTAACTTTGGACCATTCCATTTGGTTGAATGACCATCTTGTACTATTTTGGCTAGTCAAATATGTACTTAACAACTGTGTTCTCCAGCGTCTGAAAGCCCTGCATTCTCTTTGTCTATATTGGTTAACTCTTACTCTGTTTCACTGTCACAGAAACTTTGGCTCATATGACCAACATCAAAGTCATTATCATCTTCATCACCCATGCATGAGCAATCTGATGATTCACTTTCAACCTCCTCTAAAACTTGCAAATCTGGTTTTTCAGGGCTATTTCTACCAGAAAATACAGAAATGATCTTTTTAAAAACAAGTCCTAGATAGACAAAGATTTAACAATGAGTATTTTATAGATTAAACTCACCCATTGCTGCTTTGGAGCTCCCTTACAAAATGGGTGAAAACCCAGATGGTTTTTTGCTCTCCCTCCACAAGGTGCTATGAGGTACATCCACATTCCATTATGGTACAGTACATGTTTACATAACAGAAGAGTGGTCTGGGTGTATTTTAACCCCAGTAATGCTCAGATAAACATGCAAAACCTGTTAGATGGAGCATTATGTGAGTAAAAGTCCCAGTTTGACACTTTTGCACAGGTACATACAACTTGCCATTCATTTTACCAAGTGAGTAAACACATAGATTGCTTCCTGCATTCCCCGGGTACAGCTACTGAGACACACAGCTGGTTATGATTATGCTACAATATGAACAGTAGAAAAGTATGCAATGAGTTGTTGTAGTCCAATGTTATGCCTTATGCGTTGGAGATAGTTGTTTGACTCCTAGAACTCTGAATAACAGTAGGAGGCTGATTTTTAGCCTGATTCTACAGATAACAGAGTGTTTCTCTGGACTGGTTGCTGCAGATTATGTCTCAGAGTTCTTATGGTCCATGTGATTTATTTGTAGATATAATGTCTGTTAATCTATCTATCTTCTTTCTGGATCAGGGCTCAGCAAATTTTCTGTAAAGAGCCAGATATAAGACTTTTTTTTAGCTTTGTGAGCTATATAGTTTCTCCTGCAGTTACTGAACTCTGAGATTTTAGCACAAAATCAACCACACACAGCAGGTAAACTCATGGATTTTGCTGTGTTTCAATAAAACTCCCTTTTCAAAACCAAGCAACAGGGTCATTTTGGACCTGTGGCTCTCTTACACTGGCCCTGGTTCTAGAGTGAAAAATTTGCACAAATCAAGAAATATGCAAATAACAGCTTTCCCCTGTATTTTGACTCATTCCCTTTCAACCTGCTTAATGCTGGAGGAGCTATGATCTTTGTGGTCTAGTTTCTGAGTGGTATCACTTGCAGTAAGCACAGTTCTATAACTGAAAAATTTAAAAATTCCATTATTCTTCCTTTTTTGGGTCAAATGCTATTTTATGCCATCTATTTAATAGCTGAAAAGATAGTTCTTATCTTACTGCTTTCCTTTAGTTTCATTCCTTAATTTTTCTATTCTTCCATGTTTTTTTTATCTTGAAAAGAACAAAACCAAATGAGATAAAACAAAATGGAATCAGTCAAAACAAAAGGATCAACATGGTACATGCTATTTTTCTGCCATTGGTTGCCTGGTACATGGTACATGGTACATGGTACATGGTAAAATAAAGGAGATCAATAATGGCTACGATAATGCTTCATGTTATCTTAAAAAGAATTGCCCATATCACCAGGCAAAATAAAATCAAACAAAATAGTCCAGAACAAAACCAATAAAAACAAAACAATGGAGATACCATAGGACTTCAAAAGAAGATAATAGTCAAACCACAGTGGATATCATAGTGCATCTTACTGTCTTCAAAGTAGTTGCCTATACTATCAGACGATACAATAAAAAAAACCAGAATCTAATAAAATCAGTCAAAACAAAACAATGAAAGCAACACAGGGCTTCAAATCAAGCTAATAGGAAATAAAAAATGGTTACTATACTATAACCTGTTATCCTTGGAATAGCTGTCCATGCCATCAAATGTAATACAAGTAGACAAACAAACAGAATAAAACCAAAGTAAACCAAATAATGAAAACAATATGGGTTTCAAATCATGAAAATAGATTAACAATGACCAGTGCCTTCCTTTTTTAGACAATTCCTCCCCTTTCACTTTCACAGGATGTATTATGCATTTGGATCCTACTAACTCCTTTAGTTTTTATATTAGGGAGACAGTCCGCTATCTACCTAACTGACTTGCTGAAACTGTTTTACCCTGAGCATGATCTCAAATTGTATCCATTTACCTACAAAAGTCTCAAGATTTTCTTTCTTTATAGGTGAGTAGTTTTCTGTTGTATAAAAGTGTCATGGCTTTCTAACCAATTTACAGCTGCTGGGCAAGCTACCCCCACTGTTTTTTAGTTCCCTGTCACATAAAGCATTGTCTTCCTCTCCTTTGACTTTCAGTCTATAAACCCCCTTTTGGATTAAATGTATTTCTTATATAAAGCATATTGATGGATCCTGTCTCCTGATCCACTGTGGCTATGTTTTTTCCCCTGCCATTTATATTAGTGGTTATGACCAACCTTCTCTGCCTTCTGTCTGACATGCTATTTTTCTGCCACTGGTTGCCTTCTTTCCCCTTCATTCCACTGTCTGACCCTTTCAGTGAGCCTCCACTGCTGCTATTCTTGAAACCATGGTATTTTCTTTTACTCTCTAGAATGTCCTTCACTATTTTTTGTAGGGTTGGTTTGGTGGTCATGAATTTCTTCAGTTCTTTGTCATGAAAGTATCTTGTTTTGCCATTAATTTTGAAAGATAGTTTTTCAAGATACATCAATCTGGTTTGGAGATTATTTTCTTTCAGGGCTTAGAATACTTCATTCCAAGTTCTTCTTGATTTGATGGTTTGTGTCAAGAACTCATGATTCTGATGGGTTTTCCTTTACAGGTGATCTGTTTCTTTTCTCTGACTGCTTTTAATATTTGTGTTTGTGATGAATTCTGAGATTTTGATTATTATATGTTTAGATGTAGATTTATTTTGGTTATAGCTGGCTGGAGTTCTGTATGCCTCACTTATCTGAATATCATTTCCTTTTCCTATGCTTGTGAAGTTTTCTTTATTTCTGTAAATAGCCTTTGTATTTCATTTGTGTTTACAGCTGTTTTTTCACTCACATTTTTTATTCTTAAATTATATTCTTTCATGTCATCTTCCAACCTTTGTATTGTTGCTTTCTGGTTCCTTAATTTTTGAGAGATCTTTCCTTTCATGATTGCAAGCTGCTAACCTGTCTTCAAGTTTTAATAGTTATCTAGTTTCTTTCAATCTGTTTTGCCAGCTTTCAGTGGAGTTTTTAATTTCCTGGTAATCTCTTTGGATCTCTTTCATGTATTCTAAGTCTTTTTAATATTCCTCATTGAAGGTTTGCCTCATTTTCCTATGCTCCTCTATTCTTCCATCTGTGTCTTCTTTAGAGGTGCTTAGCATTCTTTAACTATATTTCTCATTTCTTTTTTTATCTGAGATAGTATCTCTGTCATAATTTCTTTTATAGCTTCTTGAAGTTATTTATTTCAGTTGTTGTTGCTTCAGAAACTTCAGGTGTGCAATTCCTGATGTCTTCTGTGTAAACACAGACAGTGTTCACTGGACCAGTACTGCTTGGGTTGGAGGCCAGGGACTGCCTTTTGTTTCTTCCTCTTGTCACACTCCTGGTTTCTTCTGGACATGTGGGTCTTGGTGTCCCTGGTACTTCCTGTGCTGGCTACATTTTTTCTGAAGTGAGACTCTTTCTCTTTCTAGCCCATGTTGATATGTGATATCTGATGTGACCACTGGGTGCACTGGTATAGGCTGTTTGCTGCTTTTCCCAGCCAGCTTTGGCTTACCAGTGGCTGCTGGAGTGCAAGCAGGGGTGGGGAAAGCTGTTGCCTCCCTCCCAGGCTGGTTAACAGCAGGGAGCCCTTACCAGACACAAATACATGCAGGGGGCAGAGCTGGTTGGGGATAGCTTTAAGGAAACCTCAGTGATGGCTTTTGGAATGTGCACAGGGTTGGAACTCAGTCCAACCAATTTCTACCAGTCTGCACTGAGCTAGGAGTGGCTGAATGAAGCAAGCTGCAGTTCTGCCTCTGGGCTTATCCTGCCCTACTCTAAAATGGCCCCTGGCCAATTATCCACTCCTGTGGGAGGACTGAGTCCTCTACATTCACTGCCAGCCAGTACAGTTCTCTAGTCGGCTGCTCCCCTCTAGCACTGGGTCTCCCCACAGAGGCCTTTGGGCTTGCCATCACCACCTTCACTCTGACCCTGCATCCCCAGGTTTCAACAGCTTTTCCTGCCTGGTGGTTCTGGCTCTGGGTACTGCCGGCTACTATCTTCTTCTGTTTAAGTTTTTCTTTTTTAAATTCTCGCTGTGGGCTTCAATTCTCACTTTAGTTTTTTCCTGGGTTGGGGAGACTCACTTCTGTCTTTCTTGTCTTCCTTGCAATGCTACATTGCAGCATCTGGATTGTTTCTCTCAGAGAGGCTGCTTACTGTTCCACCATCTTCATGGACTCCCCATGCCGCCATTTTAGAGCCTCTTAGTTGTCAAAATGCTTCCTCCAAAACCCCTGTCTTACACAGTGAATCAGCACAATTTCTCCTTTGGCACAGGAGAAGAACAGCATTGTTAAATCGGTGAAGGTGCTCTGTCCTTAGCCTAAGCCCTTTATATTTGCGTGATGGCTGCCATAGTTCCAGTCACCACCCACAGATATAATAGTGTCCAGAGGGAGCAGGGGCCATTTCTTCCTTGTATCCTCTTAAGAGTGGAGAGTCTTCTCCGAGATGCTTCTGAGAGGACTTTCCTTGTTTATTGGCCTGGATGCATGGAACCTAAGCTAATATTGCTAAGGGTAATCGAACCACCCTGGCTGATTTAGATCAAGTAGGAGTTTCCAGCTGAGGCTGGGGATAGATAGATACTATCTTCACTGATGCACCTTGGTTTACAGAATGGGGAAGATGTGAATAAATGAACTCCAGGTTTGTCAGGAGGAAAGAAGGAACTGACATAAGGGATGCAACCTGTTGTATTGTCAGTAAGAGCAAAAGGGCAAGAAGAGCAATGGCCACCAGAAAGGCAGCAGGATTTGGTGGGGAACTCCTCTCTAGGCTTTGAACATTCCTTAGAGCAGAAGCAGTCAGGGATCTTCCTTCTTGTGGCAGAAACAGGCTTGGATTTGCTGCTGAGGACTTGGGTCTCCTGTCAACACATCAATTTTGAGGCAAAAGCAGATAACAGCAGCATTGCCAACTTGGAAGAGATGGCTTTTCTGTTCTGTAGCCCAGTTTGGATATCTTCCACTCTCCTCCAAACCTCACCCCTTGAGAACCTTGCATACTTCATGATGAAAGCTTTGAGCAGATGGGAATACTGGGCATGGGTTGTGGTTTAGTGTGTTCTGAGTCCATAGCTTTAGACTTGAGCATGGTACATATTAGTTACTTTATCAATAAAGAAAGACACTGTCCACCCTGCTAGCCTAGGAAGCTGTTGTGAGGATTAATGAATGAAATATTGTTAAGAACGTACTTGCACATGGGCACTAAATATTTGTTTTCCTTTGGATTAACCAAATCCATCTACTCATTGTTCTCTAAAGTCACTCATTTTGAAATATTTTTACCTTTACAGGCAGCTTCATGAACAGCTGTTCATCCTTTCTTTTTTCTACTCTGCCACTTCCTCCATCTGAAATGCTTTTGCCTTGTTTCCTTGGTTCTTATTTACTGTTGAGTTTGACTTTACCACAGACTTTTTTATGAGGGCCTCTCCTCTCACACAGATGTCAGCACGTCATTCTCTGAAGGATCCTGTAGAGTGGAGAACATTGTAATTTGCCCTCATTGTGTCAGAAGGAGTCTTGGAAGGTTAACACTGTCTGGGAGATAAGTGGATCACTGGAACTGTGGAATCAGAAGGCTGTCAGTGAAGGAGATGTCCAGGACCAAACAAAAGACAAATGTACACTGGCAGCCTTTGGCTAGAGTCCTGGTCTCTCACATGGTGTTTTTCTTGAGTTATATATGTTATTTAAGCATCATGTTTTTCATTTTTCAAGAGGAATCCACACCTATCCTTCTTCTTTTCTCTCTTCAATGAGAGTGTAAAACCTCACAAGTCAGAGACCATTCTTATTTTATTTATAAATTTGGCAATTACAGCCAGCTCATAGCAGCACAATAACCTGGCACAATAACCACTGGTTGAGAAATGATTGAGTATAAAATAAGAAAACATAGATGCTTAGGGTAAGATACAATACGAAGTATTATCCCTTCCCTTCCTGCATGAGCTTCTCATGGATCCCAATAGAGACTAATGATACCACTGATAAAGGCTGAGAGGTCACCTATTCTTTGGACTGTACACTATGAAACTGTTTTAATTAAAATCTGGAATGTGTGAGAGCAAGGGAAGACCTATCTTGTATCAGGCTGTACCTATGTATTTTGTCTTCAGGTTGTCCAATATCTAATGGCAAATGAGTAACATGCGTACCTCTCCCTGTCTCCTCTGCACTTAGGGCAGACATTGTTAATTGATATGACGCTTATGCACTGAGTTTGTACGTGGCTTCTGCATTCTTTTCAAACCACTTTTACAGGCAGCTAATACTAATTGCTTAGAACTGATACTTAAATTTAAGTCTATTTTCTATCCTTCTTAATCTTAATTCCAGTATAGTTCTTTTTTTTGTTTTTTTGTTTGTGAATTTTTCAGAAAGTCTCTGTCAGTGGAAACTCCATATTCTCCTGCTGTTAATCATGTCTTTGTTCTTTTTTGTTTTTTGGCCACTGAAATGTTCTTATATCTAATTCAATCTTTCCTGCAGAAAAAAATAGAGCCGTTCTTATTCTTCAACTGGAACAAGTATCTCAAAGAAATATGATTTACTTTTATGTCTACAAAATAAGAGAACTATCAAAGGAGAAATGAATCAGGCCAGCTCGGTGAGATTACTGTGGAATTTATTAGAACTAAACCCCTATGCATAGAAGGGCTGCACCTGGAACCCAAATTCACTTTCAGTGTACTGCTTTTGTTTCCGTCATAAATTTAGGCACACTTTAGAAAAAAATAATTTCAAGACTTTATATTTTCTAATTGATTTATTACCCTGGAATCAGTTCAGAATCACGGAACAGGAGTGATTAAAAAGCCAGGAGCACTGATTTACGATGAAAGCTTAGGGCTGAATAAGATCTGCACCTTTGTGAATCGGGGAGGCCCAGCCAGACGTCTTCACTGCTGGAACGACCTGGGGATGTGCAAGGGCCAAAGCACGAGACCCATTATTGCACTTGGCCATCAGATTTTTCAAAAGGGAAAGTTTATTTATTTATTTATTTATTTATTTATTTATTTTTAAATGAAAAAAATTCAGTCAGGCAGCTTGATTCTCATGGGTTAGTGGCTGTCCCTAAACACTGCATACTCAAGATTGCTGATGGACCAAGGCTGAGATAAGGAACTGGCAATACTTCTGCATTTATGGGAAAAAAAAAAAAAAAAAAAGAAAAAGAAGGCACCTTCCACCTTGCCCTTCCATTCTCCTCTCTCTAGCAGCCCATCTGTTTTAAATATATGATTTGGGGGAGATTTTCCTCTCTTTGTGTCTCTGGAAATAAATTGAAACTCAGCAACACTAAACATAAGAAATGTAACAATCTAATTCACTGTGGAGAATGCTTCTTGTCAAAAACATTGTGTCTGTGGATTACAAGCATGCACATAAGCACGCACACATGGGCATTTACATGATTAGTTCTTCCAGGTTTTGGGCTTAGCAAATCTTCTCAGATTCTTCAGAAAATGGGTAATAATAATACCAACAAAACGGCTTATATATTCTTTATGTTTTTTTAAAAATCCTTTGATTTTATTTGTATTATTCTAAGGATGTACATCTGTCAAATAAAGGTAAAAGCTATTTCTTTGCTTCATAGCATGCATTTAAAATGCATTCATACCCAAAGTGTTAAATGATTATTTATGATGCATTTCTTATTACTTAGTTGTTTAGGGGGAAAGAAATGCTTTAAAGAATTGGAGAGAATCATACTGAGTTGAAAGGTACTAATGCTGAGGATGGGAACCTCAGCCATCTCATATCACTGTATGGCTGGGTCCTCTCAGGGGTGAGGTGAGGGCAGGATGGATGCTCTTTGTCCTTCTCAGAGATAGCTCTAGGGGAAGTCAGTGACGCTAACCCAGGCGAAGCTGAATTTAAGAACACTGGAGAAAATAAAATTTTAAAATCTGGAAGCAGAGGGTTTGCAAAAGGAGTTGGTTTGATGAGTGAATTGAGTCAAAAGGATGGGCAGGTCCCAGGAGATCTTGAGGGGGCCTCACTTAGGGTCAGGGACAGAAGTAAACTCTTTGTATAGAGGACTTGAAGGTGGGGAAAGACAGGGCAGCGAATGATTCAGGGTCAAGCACTTGGTGCTGCCATGTGGCACAACCTCAGGCACTGTCATTCTTCTTGTTTTCAACAAGAACGGGGCCTCCTGGGATTGGGGACACTGAAGTGCTGAAAAGCATTTCATAAACACTTTCTGAGCTTCTGAGCTTTTCAGAAGTGCTCACAAAGAGTTTCTGATGGAGCAACATTTAAGTTAACCCACAATGATATAGAATTAACTAGAAGGTGGAATGAAGAAAACTCTAGGTCTGACAAAAGCAGCTGCAAAGGTAAGGGAGTCTACAAGGACACGACCTGCAGATGACAAGAGAGAGCATAGGGGACCGAGGTAGAAGTGTTGGGGGGGAGGGGGGCCTAGGCACTGATCTGCAGAGAGCCAGGAATCGTACACTGGACAATGGGCATCATTCTGCAGCATGTGGTACCACGGAAGAACAGATGGAGTTCCTCCATCAGAGAATGATGTGGAGACTGTGTTGTCAATAGCATGGAGAACAAAGGTAGACCAAGGAGGAACCCATTGAAATAACCTGGGCAAGGAGTAGTGAGGATTGGAGCAAAGCCACCCAGCAGGATGGAGAAGCAGCAGGGCCAGGACTTCACAACAGTTTCCCTCAGATTTCCTACGCCTGTGTCCTTCAGAGCAGTCAGGTTGGAATCTTTGAGAATCGTGTTGTTGAGGTCACTGCTTGCTGGCATGTGAAAACAGCCAGAAAGGATTTATTTTTAACTTGCTTAGGCATAGAGATTGAGAAATATCTAGAGCAATATAACCTGGCACATTTTTCATCATCTGGAAGAATAATTCTGCCTTGTTAATAGTAGGACCCATTTTCACATTGCTTTTTCTCCTTAGTAGTTTATTTTATTCCTATTTACTTAAAAGATGGATTTTGTATACATATGTTTAAGAGTTGAGAATATACTACAAAACAATTTTGGCATTCTACTTTCCCCCTTTAACCTTCCAAGTATTTTCCATTCATCAAAAATTCTTAGTAAACATAATTTTGAATGATTTCATAATTTCTTTTGTACTACTATATTTGTACCAGTTTATTTATTTATTTAATTTTAAAGAGAATAAAACAAGAGAACAGAACAAAGCAAATCATAACAGAACAATGCAAGCAACACAGCACTTCATAAGGCAATGAGACATCAGTAGTAAAGTAGAAATTTGATACCGAGATAGATATCAAGATAGAAATTTGGTACCGAGCAGTGGGGTCATTTGCTGTGACTATACCTGGCCATGTTTTTCAAGAGGCTTTGGAAATGGCTTGTGGGCGGAGTTTGGAAAGGTTTGGACATGTCACCTGGATGCATAGAGCTGGAGCAGCTTAGGCTGTTCTGTAGAGGAGATTCTGGCCAGAGCTCAGGAGACCAGAAGGCTGATGATAAAAAGCCTCTTGGTAAAGACCAGGCTTGGGAGGTTTCTGCTGGAAAGGACTGCATTGGTCGTTGGACTCCACATGATGTGTGTTATGGCTTAGCAGAAACTTTATCTGCATTTTGCTCCTGCCCAGAGACTTTGTCTGAGACTGAGACAAAGGGCAATGGACTGATTAATCTTGAAAAAGAAATTAAAAAGCAACTAAATGTTGAGGCTGTGGCATGGCTATTGTTGGCAGCTTTTAGCCAGCTTTATGTTTCAAATCAAAAGCAAAGAGCCCAGCAGGATAATTTACAATGCTGTGAGTTTGGCCTGAAGAAAAAGTCCAGGAAGGGTGTGGATTGTAAAGACAGAGTTGAGATTTTGATTCCTGAGGAGAAACAGAGAGATAAGAAAGATGGCCCTGGGGCATCCCAGGAAGCAAGTCCCCACCCTGTGCAGCCTCATAGCAAAGATGAAAAATTTTGCTCAGAGAAAAAAAATCTACAGAGTGCCATGCTCCAGAATGGCGACAGAGGCCACGTGAGGTTCCAGAATGGCGGCAACACAGAGAAGCTTTTCATCACAATCAGGTAGACAGAGCCCTGCGATCCAGGCAACTGACCCCTACAGCCAAGAGAGAGAAAAGCCTGGCTACTGCTTCAGCTAACAGCAAACCTTGGCGGCATCCACAAGGTGTTGATTTTAGGTGCAAGGAAAATGCACGAATTCTGAGGGTAAGACGGCTTCCACCTCGATTGCAAAGGGCCTGGGAGACCAAGCAGTGTGCCCCTGAGAGGGCAATTTGTGCAGATGTAATGGTGAAGCCGAAGGTGCAGTGGAGACCCCAGAAGTTTGGAAAAGCCAGGAATGTGGATGATCCAAGGGAAGCTGCAAAAAAGCGAGCAGAGAAGATTTAAGAGAAAAGCTGCGGGAGTTGAAATCACCAGAAGTGCCGTGGGGGTGGAATCACCTAAGCCTTTTGGAACTTGCAACCAGATTGCTTCAGATGCTGAGCTTGGAACTCTAGGACTTAATGTTCATCCTACTGGATGTTGGACTTGCTTTGATTCCAATGCTTTATATTCCCCTGTTTGTAACTTTTGGAATGGTAATGTTTATCTTGTGCCTTTGCATTTCAGAAAAGTTTAACTTTGTTTCTTTTGTACAGGGGCTTACAGTTAAGAGTTTGCCATAGATCTTGGAGGAGACTTGGGACTTGGACTTTTCAGCAATGTTGAAGCTGTTAGGACTTTGGCAACTCTTGGAGGTGGACTAAATGTGTTTTGTATAAAGGATGTACATGAGTCCTGGAGGCCAGGGGTGGAATGTCATGGTTTATGTTTGTGTCCCCCAGGACTCATGAGTTTGCATTGTTCATATGTGATGGTTCATTGTATAGTGCTTGGATTGATGGTGTCAGTGCTCCACCCACATAGGGGTGGAGCCAGGATGTGATGTAATGGCAGGAAGAAGGTGTGTTTTTCTCTTTGCTGGTTGGAGTTTGCTGTTCGCGGCCGCCATGAATTGCAGCCCAGTCATGCCTGCCTGTCTTGGAGCCAACTGAGTGTGGACTGAAACCTCCAAAAACTGTAAGAAATAAACCTTTCCTTTCCCAACTTTGAGCTTCAGGTATTTTGTCTCAGCAACGAGTAAAAAGTAACTAAGACACTACCATAATGTCTATGTTCTTCAAAATAGTTAAGTATACCTTTACACACAATAATATCAAATGTAACAGTACAGTATAAAACCATTCAAAAGAAGGAAAGCATTATGAGACTTCAAAACCAAATAATAGGAAATGAACAATGGCTACTATAATATCTCATTTTCCTCAAAAAATTTGTCTATACCATCACACATAATAAAATCAAATAAACCACAACAGGATAGAACCAATCAAAACAGATGAACAAAAGTATGGTAGGACTTCAAAACAAGATGATAGTAAATCAGCAATGGCTACTATAATGTCTTGTTTTCTTCAAAATATCTATTCATACCATTACACATAATAAATTCAACAAAACAGAAAAAAACCAAGCAAACAAATGAATGAAATAATTATGACTTCAAATAAATAGGAAACCATAATAACCATAATATATCCCATTATGTTCAAAATAGCTGCCTCTACCATCTGATAGCATAGAATCTAATAGAACAAGCCAAACCTAACAAAACTGTGTAAACAATGCAAAAGTTCAAGATAAGACAATAGGAAATTGACAGTATTTTCCACCTTTCTCTCCCAGGTCTTTCCTCCTTTTTGCTCTTACATTAACTATTTTGCTTCTGGATTCCATTAATTCCTTCTGTTTCTTATGCTAGGGTCCATGTGTATGAGTTCGAACTGTTTCAGCCATGAATGTGATCTCCAGATGTGCCCATTTACCGAAAAGGGCCTTGAGATTATTCTACTTTGTAGCTGGGCAGCTTTCCACTGCATGAAAATACTTTATTTTTTGTTTGTTTGTTTGTTTTTTGTTTTTGAAGCAGGGTCTTGCAATGCAGTTCAGGCTGGCCTTTGGCTCATTTTGTAGCCCAGGATGGTCTTGAACTTGCAACCACTGTCCTGCCTCAGTCTCCTGAGTGCTAGGATTACAGGAATCATATCTTTCTTACTCATTCTGCAGTTGATGGGCAAGTTACTCTTGCTTTTTTTGGTCTCCTGTCACATGGAACAATTGTTTTTTATCCTTTGATTTTGAATTTCCTTTCCAGTTAAATGTGTTTCTTATCTACAGTATATTGATGGATCTTGTTTCTTGATCCACTCTTGCTGTGTTTCTTTTTATTGGTGACCTGAGGCCATCTACATTAGATATTACAGCATACATTGGTTTGTCTCTGCCCTATTACCTTCCTGTTGTTGGCCTTCCACTTTTCCCCTTCATTCAGTTTCCTTTCTTGCTTGGTGATCCTCCTCTGCTGCTGTTCCTGGATCCATGGTCATCTTTCTCTCTAGAATATTCTTTAGCACTCTCTGTTGGGTTGGTCTGGTAGTCATGAATTCCTTCAATCTTTATCATGGAAGTATCTTATTTTTCCACCAATTTTGAAAGATAGTTTTTCTGGGTAGATCAATCTGAGTTGGAAGTTGTTTTCTTTCAGGGTTTGAAACACTTCACTCCAAACTCTTGACTTGATGGTTTGTGATGATAAGTCTGTTGTGATTCTGATAGTTTTCCTTTAAAGGTGATCTGTCTCTTTTCTCTAACAGCTTTTAATATTCTATTCTTGTGCTGAATTTCTGGGGTCTTGATTATTATATGTCTGTGTGTAGATTTACTTTGGTGATGGCTAGTTGGAGTCCTATATGCCTCACTTAACTGCATGCCAGATCCATTTCCCATGTTTGGGAAGTTTTCTTCTATTACTTCTGTGAATGTCCTTTTAATTTCATTTGTGTTGACTCCTGCTTCTTCACCCACACCTGTCACTGTTAAATTATGCTTCTTTGCCTCATCTTTCAGCCATTGAGTTGCTATTTCCTGATTCCATGTTATTTTTAAGAGACCTTTATTTTCACAATCACTAGCTGCAATTCTATCTTCAAGGTTTGAAAGTCTATCTTTAGTCTCTTTCAAGTGGTTTTGCCAGCTTTTGATTGAATTTTTAATTTCCTGGATCTCTTTTTGAATCTGTTTCATGCACTGTAATTCCTTTCTACATCCATTCAAGGTTTCCATCATTTTCCTATGCTCCATTTTTGTCTATGTTTCCTTTAGACCTACTGAACAATTCTTTCAGTGTGCTTGTGATTTCTTCTTTTACCTAACACATTATTTCAGATTTGACTGCTTTTACAATCTCATAAGGTTGTTTTCTTACTTCAGTTGCTACCCTTTCAGGGATTTCAGGTGTGTGACTTCCATTTTCTTCCATGACTGTATCTCCCAGACTTATTCTGTGTGGAATAGAGGTCTCAGTTTGCCTTTTGCTCCTTGTCTTGACATTCTTGTTGGTTCCTCCCAACAAGCTGGTTGTGGGGCCGCAGGAACTCCCATGTTGGTTGCCCCTAGGCAGTGTAGGGGGATGGGACAGCTACCTGGGTTCCTCTAATTCCAGATGTACAGGGAGATAGGAGGGCATACAGCGGGTTTCTCCAGACCTATGCAGCTACACTGTGGCTTTACTGGTGATCAGGGGTACATGTACGTGGGGCTGCTTCTCTCAGTATGTGTGTCTACACTGGGATCCCATGGTGGTGGCAGACTCACAGGGGTGAGTTTCTCTGATTCTGCTAGTGGGTGACAGCTGCATGAGGATCCAAGGGACTCTAATGGTGGCCTACAGATGCACAAGGCTTACCTGGCTGTGTATCCCTGCTCCTGCCGGTTGCCTGTAGGAAGGAGCCTTCTGGTGGCTGCCTCCCTGAGGTGAATCTGCTGGTTCTCTCTGCCCATACTTGCCACCTACAGGACATGGCCCTTTGGTGGCAGTGCACAGCAGACAGAGATGATCTGTCTGTCTCCTGTGACCCGTGCTGGGTGCATGGAAGAAAGGGCCTTCTGGTAGTGGTGCTCAATAGGCAGAGGCAGATCTTCTGGTTCCCTGTGCATATGCTTTATACCAGTTTAAGTAATCTGGTGAGTCATTTATAGTTTTTAGTTACTATGAATAATATTGTAATGTAAATTTTATAAGAATGTTTATAGCAGTCTTTAAATAATAGCCCCAAACTGAAAACAGTTCCAGTAGCTATCCACAGAAGAAGAAACAAACTGCTGTATATGTATAGAACACGATACTACTTAGCAATGTATAGAGATTAATGATTTCGGTAATACAAATGAACCACAAAAACATTATATGGAGTGCATGATGACATACACAAAAGAAGACATACTTTACAACTTCATGACAGGTTGCTCCTGAATGGCTAAAACAGAACTATGGCAGTATGATTTGGGCAGTGGTTATCTCTTAAGAATGCAACTGTTTCCCATAGACAAGATAGAACTTTCTGGAAGGATGAAGGTGATCTATTCCTTGAATGGAATGGTGGTATATTGGGTATATGCCTTTATGACAGCTCACTGAACTGCACATTAAAAATTTATGAGCTTCATTGTATGCAAATTGTATCTTAATTGTTTAACATTTCTAAAAAACACTTCTCTTTTCTCGGAGCTGATGAATTTGATGCAAATTCGGAGTAGTGTGGAAACATTGTATGGAGCGTATCACATTTTCCAGAGGTTGAGAACCCTGTATTGTTTTTTAAAAATTTTATTTAAAGAAAGACTAAGCAAAACAGAAAATGGGTAGAAATAATACATGTTCAAAGAAAAATAAACAGTAAAAAATCACTAGTTGATGTTTACATACTGTCCTCTTACAAATAGATGTTCAAGATACAAAAGTGGAACATATAAAGTGGGAATTCAAACAGTGAGATAGCAAACAGTTTTGTTCGACTATCCAACAGAAACTTAGTAATATGGTTGTCATTCCTACACACTTAAACATACATTCAGTTATCCATATCTTCAATTATGTTGAGATTTAAAAAACTAAAGCAGGCTAAAATCATTCTGAGCAAAGAATAATAGTTTTGCTGGATTTCACATCATGACACTCCAGGATCAGCACTGGGTACTGTAGTGTCTTTTTAAAAAATTTTATTTAAAGAAAGACTAAAGAAAACAGAAAATGGGTAGAAATAATACATACTTTCAAAGAAAAAAACAGTGTCACTAGTTGATGATTACAGATTGTCCTCTTACAAATAGTTATTCAAAATGCTAAAGTGGAGCATTTAAGTGGAGATTCAAACAGTGAGACTGCAATCAACTATCCAACAAAAACTTAGAAATATCAATCCTATACACTTAAACATACATGCAGTTATCCATATCTTCAATTATGTTGAGATTGAACAAACCCAAGAAGGCTAATATCACTGTGAACAAAGAATAATACTATTGCCGGGTGTCACATTATGACACTCCAGGATCAGCACTGGATACTTTAGTGTTTCTTTTTCTTCAAAGTATTTATTCATTTCATCATGTGTCATAAGATCAGTTATTATAGGTTCTACACATGCATGAGTCTTAACATGTATTTCTATCTTTCTATATTAGAGAGAGAAACAAAACAAAGCAAGACAAAACAAAACATATTCCTATAAACACATGAATTGAAAAAGACATAAAATTGTACAAGGAGTTCTACCATAGTTGCTTTTTTGTCTCTTGTTATCTTAAATACAATTGGCTATATCACCAGACATAGTATAATTAAATATATACTAATAAAACACAACTTTGTATATAGCACTAATAAAAACACAACTTTGCATATAGTATAAAACTTCAAAAACAGGCAATAATGAAACTAGAATGTGTATCGTAATGAATCTTGTCATTTTCAGCATAGTTGTCTATACTCTCAGACTTGATACTATCATTCATATCAATTTTGAATAAAATACCAAACAGCAATCAAGCAAACCAGATTTAACTAAGACCAGTCATGATAAAACAGTATAGGTCATACAGGGCTCCAGATTAAGTTAATAGGAAATTAAAGATGATTACTGTGCTATATCCTGATGTTTTTGGGATAGCTGTCTGTATCCTCAAATCTGATGTAAGTAGACAAATTG